GGCTTCAGACATAGATTTTTATATATGTAGCATGGCATAAACAAATACATGTCCAAAATATTGTCATAAAAATTGTTATAATCAGTAAAGATCATGCGTATTGTCAAACTGTTAGCGAAGAAAGCCCAGGAGATTTAATAAGTTTTCTAAGTTTTCACATTTTAAAAGAAATAAAAAACACCAACTCGTTTATTGCAGTTATTCATATAAGGTGTGTTCAGCAAAGGACTTCATATGCGCGTCGATGTATCAAATTTCATCAAAATTTCTCAAAAATTTGCGACCTATATATATATATGAACACAAGCAATCAAAAGACGGACAGACGGAGAGATGAACGGACAAGCTTAGATCAATTGAGAAAGTTTTTTTTTTTTTTTTTTTTTTTTTTTGCATATGCACATTTATTTGCAATCTATTTTACAGTAACGAACAAATGGGCCAATCTTAAACTTACATTCGCTTTACTCCCCATTACAACTTGTATACTTATTTTAATATTATAATAATTTAACAATATACACATATTTACATATACACATATTTACATTCATTTTCTAAATGACAGGTCTAAAATAGGGTATCTCTTCAGTCTTACTGTCTCGCCTCACTATCGCCTATAGCGGCAGTAAGCCTATTGCGACCAAGTTCGAATGTTGGGCAAGTCGATCAAGATATTGAGAACTGAAGTAGACAATTTCTTCTTCTACTCTGCGAACGACTAAATCCTTATGAATATGTTTGTTCATCATAAACCATAGAGCTCCTCTGATTAACCTTAGCGTTTCCGGTGGGTAGCGCTGACAAATTTCAATGTTGCAGTTGCTCGCAGCATCGCCAAGTTGTACGACATTCGTGGCAATAGTTTTTCAAAGATTCCCGAAAAGGTCAACAGAACAACAGACTTATTGACCTGCAGCAGTTGATGTCAGAAAAAAAGATAAAAGTTTTAATAACCATAACTATTTCAGTAACGTACCATCCAAATGAGTAAATAATGCCTTTGCATAAGCCAGCCGATAGTGCACATATTCAGACACTTTAACTTTATAACTTACGTATAACCTATTGATTGCTTTGGTAGAGAAGAGGCCCTTTAACAATTTATAATTTCCTGACGTTCTTAAGAGATTTGTATTCACTTATATAAGCAATCCATTTCAATTACATACATATACATATACATATATATGAGTTTCCATAGTCGCCTTTATTCGCACTAATGAGACATGCTTATCAAATGATGAATAAAAAACACTACATAAGGATATTATGCTTACTTTAGGGCGAATTTTAGACACCTGCTAACACAGAGAAAGAGCATAGAAAATGCTGCATTATTCTCATATGCTCGTCTATAAGAGAAAGTAATCAATGAAATTGGAGCTGATGTTACATTTTCGTTTATACAACATGCAATGAGTATATGGCTTCTAACTGCTCGATCGATGCTTTTCTTCACCGCTCAAACGCTAGATGATGAAAGGGGGAGCGCGGACTTGGCGTAGTTCAATCAAGATCTTGCTTACGCAAACGAATACTATGCATTATCAGATTCCTGGACTATATGAGCGCTAGTTAGAAAATCCAACACCGAAATGCTCAACAAATTTTCAATTTCCGAAAATTGTTTAAATTTTATTACTTGCAGACCTAATAAGTGAGATTTAGTTGAAAAAATTATTGCCCAGTTTCATCTGTATACACCAAACTTTCCAGTTTATGCTAATGTTTCAAGAACAAGTCGACGGACTACCGAATTAACTAAAATTGCTAAACCAATTTCTGTGCAATTTTAACGCTACGCCTTCGAATACTGTAAAGACAGTGCTAGAATTAATACACCTTCATTTTTCGCTATTGATATGTATACCGTAACATAAATACGCCGACTTTAACGCAGATTGTCTGTATGATGGACAGGAAGATCGGTTAATAGCACCTTATAGATAGTAAATAGCATGTAGAAGCTTTTATCGGAGTATTGGCAAGTTCTCAATTATTATACGTAGGTTTGCAAGCAATCAGATTTACTTTACCGCATACTCTCAAGATCTCAAGATCTGAGCCCGTGCGAAAAGAAGAACTTGAGCCGATAGACAAACATGAATAGATCGACTCATAAGTTTAGTTTGACTGATCGGAAATGCGTGCACTTTACGAATGTTCCAAACAGTACGTTAATGTTACTGCGCTTCCAAATCTCCGGCAAAAGATGTAAAAACAGTATAATGGTGGGAAAGATGCTACTAACTAGATTTACATGATTCTCTATGTGAGTAGATTTGTGTGCAAATATGTAGCGCAAGTCGAACGAGTATGAGATTCTTTTCTCTCCTACTTAACCTTTCGAATGATACGCTTATAAACATTTTTATTAATTTAAAGCATTATGGCCAAATGTAAGGTAAGTAATTTTTCCTTGATAATTATGGTTTCAGAATTTCTATAATTGTGTTTAAGGTTGTCTTACGTAATGGCATTTGAGTTAAGTGTTAGCTTTCTGAGACTTGAAATTTTTATGTTAACTGTGTATTAAACAAAATTAAAATTAGGTTAAGTTAGTCTGGGGTTTGAGGTTGAATTCCATTTACTCCTTAGAGAATGCTGAACATGTCGCTGTACGTATGCTCACAAGTTGTATGTGAATGAGATTTTTTAAGAATTCTTTAACTTCTTGTACAAGACTAAACATTATTTGGTCGCGTTAATCGTAGAAGAAAACAATTGAAAAGTCAATGGTGTTATTACGAAGCGATTTGTAGGTAACCTTTATGTTTAACTTCTCGTGACGTACACAGTTATCCATAGGAACTTGAATTAATTTGAAGATAGATAAGGTAAGGTAAGGTAAGGTAAGGTAAGGTAAAGTAAGGTAAGGTAAGGTCATTTGACTTCATTTTATTCTCAACTTAATCGCTCGTTTGTTTGCCTGGAATAAAATCAATGCCATCCATCAATTACCGAATGCGATATGAAAATAAGAAAGAAAGAAAGAAAGTAATGCTGTCTATTGCAAGCAGACGATTGACTTTAACGAATAGATGTTTTATTTATATATTAGCTATACGCGGTACTATAATACAAATTAGCCTAGTCAGACGGACAATTTTTAATAGATTTTGATTTCAACAAACTGTTAGAAAAGAAAAGCTTTAAACTATTAAAGAATTCTCTCGTAGACGCAATATACATTAAGGCACTAACATATAAGAAGCTCTCACATATAAAGAGATGGATGAGAAAAGATAGAGTTTTGTGGGACCGCCGTAAACAATATTGAATTTAAAATACTGAGCTATACCTAAATAGTATAACTCAGTTCAGTATAACTGAGCATGTATATATACATATATATACATATAGGTTACCAATAAAGATTATAACGATTAAAAAGCGTCTACATAATCTTTTTTACTTGTTCTATGTTCCTAGGAAACCGATCATTGGCTAGATGGGCACTGTATTCGCTGTACATCACCATTAACCTATCCTAAGCAGGCTATGTTGGCCTTTACCTTGCCGTGCCAGACTGACGTTCGACACATGTCTACTTTCTGACGAGCGGTGGCTGGCACAAGTTGCGCTTCTAACGATTATAGGTATACGTATGAAGTTTATAATTGTTACACACATACATATTTTTTAAATAAGTCTCCATCACTTGTGATTTATTACAAACAATAATTGACTGAACATTGCTCAGCGTCCCACATAATCTTCATCTAACATTTGGTGATTGAACTAATTTCTAACGTTGCACATTTTATTTCAACTTATTTAAGAGTTCCAGCAAATCCATGTCCAGTATACGGGGGTCCCTTGCTTAACATGGTTCCTGTAAAATACAATACGAAACAAAGTTTGCGAATATTATCAAACGATTCCGGTGCAACACGATTTCAAATAAACGAAAATCTGGTTCCACGGCTTTTCGTGTTCGCGTGCTTTTAACTTGACGCGGCAAAGATGATAAGCACTCTCCTAACAAATTACATACGTTAATTTCTCATGGTCATGAGGATTTAATCTAATGGAGAGGAAAAAATTGGAATGCAAGATTGCTGGCAATGTTTTGTGCTGTCCTACCTTAACCAGTTCGTTTGTTCCAATTCAATAAGAAGAATTATAAAGCTTTACTCAAGTCACTATTGGCTTTAGTTTAGCTAATTATGGCAGAAATAATGGGCAAACACAAATAATAAATAATAAAAAATTTACTAATATCATTATAATTATTTAATAAAGGCAAATAATATTATATAATAGATACACAATAGAGGAACAAAGAAATCAACAAATTTTTAAAATTGACTCTTTTTTTTAATGGTTACGGACTATTCCGAAGAAGGTCACCAAAATTTGGCCAAATATTTGGGCAGTGGTGCATTTCCCTTCACCAGCAAACTAACGTGACTCGCAAATTTTGAATGTTCAACTTTTTTAATTTTGTTTTTCAAGTGCGGTAGAGTCGTGGGTTCGAATCTCAAGTGCGGTAGAGTTTTTTATAAAAGCCGATAGCCTTAGATACTAGTGCTTTTAAGAGCTTAGTCTTGGAATTTATTTCTCCGGCGAAATTAATAATAATAATAATAATAATCTTGTTTTTAATTGTTCCCGTTTTATGTCTTTCGAAGCGCCAAATGAAAGGTAAGACCTTTTGCTTTCACAACATTTATGGCTGTCGTGCGTACATGATCCCAAAAATGATCCCGATGGTGATAAACAATGTTAAATGCTCTTGTATACGCGATCCGGAACCTACCGAAAACGAAAACGAAAACGAAAGCTGACTTTCAGATACGTGGCTACCCACCTGATTCATTAAAAAAAAGATTAATCGATTATACATAAATTGAATTTTCAATAAAATTTTATTTTATGTTTAACTCGCTTCCCCAATTTTTGATGACAATATCGTAGATGGCAACCTGAACTCACGAAATAGTTTTAATAAAGAAATTGATGAAAGAAAATAATGTCAAATCGTAAAGATAGAAAAAACAACTCAATTACTAAAACGAAAAAACCTCTTCTACACGTCACAGTGATTCATCTCTAAATTTGAATAAAAAAATTTGGGAAAAAAGAGGACAAAAAAAGTAAAAATAAGAAAACGAATTCTTATAATTTCCATAAGAAGCAATAAAAAACTTGAAAAAATTACTAATAAGCGGTATTTGTAACTAATACTTTATTAATTTAATATTAAAATTTTATTATATAGACAAACATTAATTAATAATTTGTGTACATACGTCAATTTGTTTTCTTCGAAATGTATACTCAATCGCAACAACCGAAGCAGTCGCAGCCACATACAAAAATTGAGAAAGATTCAATGGTAACGCAACAAATCTATGTAAATATAAAATAATTTATAAATTATCTGAAACTTATATGTTAAAAGATAACTTTCTAAGCTGTAATTTATATTATACTAAAATTCATTCTTAGGCTCCCTTGTCGCCTTGTCCAATACCAGATATAAATGATGATGACTTGGTTTCAATATCGGTACGTGATTTAAACCGCACATTAAAAATGCGTGGCTTAAACCGTGAGGAAATCGTTCGCATGAAACAAAGGCGACGTACTTTAAAAAATCGTGGCTATGCAGCCAGCTGCCGTATCAAACGTATCGAACAGAAAGATGTTTTAGAATCTGAAAAGTCGCATGAATGGCTGGAATTAGAACAAATGCACGAGGAAAACGAACAAATAAATAAAGAAATTGAGAATTGGAAAAAGAAATACATGGCTCTTCTTGAGTTTGCGGCGCAAAACGATATTCCAATACCACCGGAATTAGAATTATGTTAGAGGAGTGCATTTTGCATTACGTGAACCGATATGTATTTTAAAAAGAAGTACAAGTTTATTTTATAGCTCTAAGTAATTTAGATATAAACATATTCGAAAATAAACATTTAGCCTAGCTGAGGTGAGGAAACTCTCAACAATTAAATAAATTCGTCACAAGCGATAATGTTATTTGCAATTTGTGTGACAACATGCAAATAGTATATTAGTCCTACACTGACCGAAAATATACATATCTTTTACAAGTAATATAACTGGAAAGAGCAATCTTGTATGTACGTTCCGCAATACCAGCCGAAAATAAATTTTATGTTAAGATAAACGAATATTTTGAAAATGACTGTATCCGTAAAATACGTATAGCGCAAGATCTATTAGGCAAGCAAGCTTGAAGAGCAACTTCTGAATGGTATGAAAAATCCAATATGGACTATTCGTTGATATCAGTTCAACATCTTACGCAAAATTTTACCGAATTTTGAGTTTGGTAGCGAAATGAATACGAAACGCAATACAGTTTTAGGCATTTTTAGTAAATATTCGCCACAAGCCTTACTAGCGAGAGCCTTGATTACGCGTGAACAACTTGTGCTTCAAAAAAGCCATCAGGATGAAAATACACAGGTCTAGAGTTCACCCGTTCACAAGTAAGCCAATAATCGCCATGAGAGCTAGCCGAGCGAGCACGAAGGAGGAAGTAAGTTTAGTTTGAACAAAGTTTCTCTATAAATAATTCACGTTATTGCTAGCAATAGATTCAATACATGTTTATAAGTGAAACTTTGGTTGTAAAATAGTTCCGATAACCGAAAAACCGACAATCAAATACTCTTACTGATAAGCGATAGCTTTTTTAAATTTGCAAAATTGAATGGCGATTACGACAAAAAAGACAATTTAATCTAGCGGACAGAAAATGCTTTAAGATTGCAAGATTGTCAACAGCTTCTTGCGCCATCTTGTTTTCATTTAAGAGTGTTTTACGTTCTACACTATTACTATTGTTTTTAGATTGTTATGGGAGAGATATTCAAGGAACGTACATAGTAAATGTGCATTAAAACATAACAGCTTTATTGTCATTACATATGTATATAATAAAGGCAAACATTATATAATAAAAACATATAATCATTACACTTACAACACGCACTATGTGCCAGGGAATTATAAAAATCCTAAACAAAATATTATATGTATGAAGACATTTTAAAGAAAAAGAACTCGATTCGCGTGACTTTAATTATTGCCACCGAAGTGATTAGTCGTTCTAGTCTGCTTTCATATTTTCTTGAGTAATTGTTTGCGTACAAGATTTTAAATTGCATATTATTACCAACTAAAGCAACAAATGTAAGTATTTCTTAATTAAACTTTATTAGCTCTTTTTAATATTCAGTGGTTTTAATATAAGATCAGCTTTGGAAGAATGATTGACCGGACTGTTGCATTTCGTCGACACGGTGAAAAACTACAGTCGAAACTGTGTCCAGCGACGTGGAAAGCTAAACAAACGGTGATAGAAGCTATAGGTTAAATTCACCACTAAACAGTGGCAAATTGGTGGAAAGCAAATTAATTATAACTTTTATTCCAATATTCCATTTTCAATTATTTAATTTTTTAGTTACAAATTTGGTTTTAGATTTAGGCGGACTATAAGTATCGAACAAAAAAAAAGATGAGCTATAACAGAAGATCTTTGAAGCACACTGGAGTAGAAATGAACGAAGAAATAACATGGACTGTCGGGGAGAAAAAATTGCAGAGTTAGAAAATTTAGAGGCAGCAGTGGAGATAGTTAAATCGGCAATAAAGTTTTAATGTTCAATTTATTTGTATGGTTTTGTATTTTTTTTTTAATTGCTTTTTGTATGTTTAGCAATCGCAACTTAATATATATACCGGAAGATAGGCCGACTGCAGATAAAAAGCGCAACTAAGTACACGATCGGTATTTATTATATAAAAAGTTTACCATTTGTCTTCCTTTCGTTAGGTGCAGCTGGTGAAATGAAGGCCAAAAAAGGAAGGCCCCATTTTGATACACGCGATTTGCCGCAAAAGCAAATCGATAATATAAGAATAATTTTCTGTCGCGAAGTTATACCATCATATGGTATAAAATGATGTGTCGAAGGGTACTACCTAATATTTATATATTAATTATAATGTGGTGTGTAATTAATTAACGCAAAAAGATTAATTATTAACATTGAAACTCTTTAGGAATTCGTTTTTTTTTATTGAAATAAAATGAACCAAGCCAATAAGCAATTTCGTTTATTTGCACACTGCAAAATTTCGAGATCAAAAAATTGTCCTTTTATTGCCAAAAGATTGAGTTTTTGTTTTATTCTGCTTTAATTTTTTTGTTTGCCTCATCTGTTCGCAAGTAAGCAATTTTGTTTGGATTGTATTTTGTTCTCATTTTACAATCGCTGTGAATTGAAAACGCGTAAAACTATGTTAAGTTATTAAGATCTACAAGAACTTGTTAGCTGTTAATTTACAGAAAGAACGTAATACTACATGTTAATTGCAAAGTCGACGGCAAAAGTCCCCAAATATTGCTTTTGTCATTGGTGGGAGCTTTTAGCCCGAAAAACATCGATTTTCTTATAAAAATAGTATGGTAGCGCAGTTTCTCACTGAACCTAATTCTTGGGATTTATTAGCCCTGGATAACCAATGAATATGTTTGTCACAGTCGTAAAGCACTCGATAATAATTTAGCAAGGCTTATATATTCAAACGATATACAATGCGAAGGGCTGTCCACCAAAAAAATTCTACAATTTTTTTTTTTTGTATATTCACAAAATAGCAGAATTTATTTCGTCTTTTTTTTCCTATTGATATTAATTACATTCATATTTAGAAATACATATTAGAAATTGGGAAGTATGGATGAATATGGAAACATAGGCAAAACATCAGGTCATCTAAGTAGCCTTCGCGGGATAGCTGTTTGTTTTTTAATTCTTTCTACTGGACCAAAATGGAACTTATGGATATGGCGGAATAAGACTCTCCACACAAGTCAAAGTGTAAAGCAAAATCCAAAGTTGGACATAATCATATTAAATGTAAACAGTTAAACAATGCTGAATGCCATTAGATGCAAATCAGCTAAAAAACGAAAATATTAGCTGACTTTCAGATACGTGATTACCGCGCAGTTGAACACTTAGCTGTTGTTTACATAAACATTAATAAAGAAGTGCATAATTAATAAACTTCTTCAAGAATGAAAGAGAGGGAAAAGGTATTATTGTGAAATTTAAATATTTTATTTTAAATAATTTAATTTAGTTTTCTCAAATTAATTTAATTTTTCTTTTCTCCTTGTTCTTCGTTGTTACAATGAAATTTTTCTAGTAAATGCAAATAAGAACTGCAAAGACTTAAGTGTTAACCTACATTTTGTCTTCACGAAATTGAATACTGTGCTAGTTAAAAGCTGTTTATGGCAAAAAGATGACATACGTGATAACTTCTCTGCTTATTAGTTATTGAGGTGGGGATGCAATCACATATGAAAAGCTTGTCTTCACGAAAGTCCGCGAAAGCTGACTGTCAGTAATGTAATTATTCCCCAAATTGTTCTGTTTACATGCCACAAGCGTTAACGGCACTGCTTAGCGTAGGCTAAGTGTCCCATTTCAATATAGACATACTTCATTTAGGAAATTATTCTCACGCATGCACAAAGTCTACTCCATTCTTCATGTGAAGCGCTCCTTTCTTCTATTTTGGCCAAAAAAAGAAAACAGTCGATTTCATTTCACACATGTTGCGGCTAACGAATTGCTGTTGTACGACAACTTGCCTTATTTCAGTTTCTCATAATGCTTTATTTACCCTCAAAAATTGAAAATGTCGAAGTGACGGCAACTCTTTTGCGTAGATCTCAGTAATCAAAGCCAAGCGCGTCAAAAATTAATATTTAAAATGAAAAAATATGAAAATTATTAACGGCAGTTGATATTTTGCCTCCACATGAAAACTTGTAAAAATAATTGAGGAAAATCGTAACAATTTCGATAAAAAAATTTAATAATTTTAAATTGGTTTAAAGCAAACATCTCAAGTTTGCGCTATTTTATCCGTTGGTAATAAAATTGCATCAAAAAAAGTCGACAATTATAAAAAATTATAGAAAAAAAAATTAAAAAAAGAACAGTTAATATAATAGCACGTTTGAAGCAATAATCCAGATTACTACGCTATAAAAAAAATTTTGAAAAAAAAAGTAAATGAATGTGAAAATATAAATTTTGGAGCGAAATTAACAATATATGCCTTCTGCATTTATTTATGTGCGCGTGTAACACGGTTTCTGAAAAAAAATATCCTAAAAAAACGAGCAATTACATACCAAAAGGAATTAAATTAAAGATAGACACTTTAGTTTAATATCATATTAAAGTGGCAGAAAGCATGGATATGCGCAGCTGGAAAAATATTCTATTGCAATGGGTAAGAAAACAATACAAAGCGCATGTGTATATATTTAAGGGGATGAGATATTTTATTATTCTTTCGTCGTTTAGATTTCGGAATGTGGCTTTGCCGAACGTAACTACTTCAATTTAGAACACTCCGACATTGAAAAGTTTTATACGAACTTTAGCAAGAAGCATCACAAAATTGCTTCAGGCAATTACCCCGAGTTATGGGACTTTTTGCAACGTAAGTTACTTAAGAGAGGTTTATGCGAAATTTCCTTTTTTTGTAAAATTTTTCTTGTTTGAACTTCTCTATAGAATTTTATCCTGAATTTGAAGTGAATCGTGATGATGACAATGGTTTAAGCTCGGCAGATTACATTTACGTGTATACTTTGATGCTACATTTTTCATGTGTTAAAAATCCGGAAACATTTTTCCATGATATCTGCCAAAAATTGCCGAACAGTTCACAGCAAAGTATGGCTCTGTTTTTTCGTGAATTGTTGCCAGTGGAAAAATTGAATAAAGAGAATTTACGCCACGCTGTGGCCGAAGTGATCGCATCACATACATCACCGCGATCTAGTGATTCGATAAGTAGAAGTAATGGTGGCCTCACACCAGGCGCTAGTATTAAAGCCGATTCCCCGTTGAGGACACCAAAACGCAACATTGGCACACAGCGCAATTCACCGCTTACTCCGAAAACCCATCTACTGGAAGAACGAACACGTGAATTGTTTGCCTTAAGAGTAAATTATGAAAAACTTAAATAGTTTCTCGAACATTTCACTAAGAGCTTTCATTACTTTAGGCCCAACTTGATACTGAGCGTTATGAAAAAGGTCTTTTAGAAATACAAATAAAACAAAACGAAGACAAAATTCTCAAACTGAGTATGAAATAGCTTTCCGCACTGGCAAACTTTAGCAATAAAGTTTTCGTATTTTCTCCTCATTTCAGATCAAGACCATAAAAGGTTAATACAACAAATACAAGAATTGAAAATTGATGTCCTTATGAAAACCAATGAAAATAATTCGTCGGTCGATCGTGAAGGCGATGAACATAATCAGGTACTTAAAGTAAACTAAAATTTCAGTCAAATTTTGAAAATGTATGTCTATGCAATTTTTTTCTTTATTCTAGGCGCAAAAGCGCTTACTTAAAGAAATATCGCAGAAAGATAATGAAATCATAAAATTGAGTGAAACCTTAAGAGCCACAGAAGGAGATAAAATTCTTGCAGAAGAAAAGGTAGTAAAACAAAATTTTACGCAGCAGCATCAATTATATTTACCTCTTCCTCCATTACAGCTCACCTATAATGAAAGGCAAATTGCAATTTGCGGTAAACGCATTGAACTTTTGGAATTTAAAATCAATGATCTTACTGAAGAGATCGAGGTACATTTTTTTTGGCCGTATAAAAATGTATTAAATTAAAATGAATTCATTGATTTTAGAAAAGAGACAATACGATTAAATATCTGACCGATACGAAAGTTGAGTTGGAACAATTCATTGCTGAGACGCGTGCAGCGGCATCAAACGCTTCGATTGAGGTTGATTCATCATTTTCACGCACTTCTGAAGTTTCTAGTGAGTCCACGCCTATTGAGCCGGAAAATTTAGCCGTCTCTGTCATTGACAAGCAGTTGCGTGAAAAGGAGCACGAAAATGCTCAGTTGCGTGAGGATCTGCATATGCTGAATGGTAATAATAAATTATTGGCTGAACATATTCAAGAGCTCATCAAATTGGAAATGAATGAGTTTAAAATCACTTTGGATGATTTGTCTGAATCTGATTCGGAAACCGATATACCGGCGAATTGTGATCCCATCGCTCAATTTAATATGTTCGCGAGTTGCATGGAGAAAATCAACATACATCACCAACTTGAGAAGAATAAGATCAAATCCCTTGAACATGAAATTATAGTGTCGCAAAAAGAGAATTTGGAATTGGCTCGTAAATTAGATTCTGTGCTCGATGACACGACCTTGCTAAAAAATGATCTAAGCGCCTTTGAACAAAACAATAAAGAGTTGGAGGAAACAAAAGAAAGATTGCAAAATTCTTTACGTAATTGTGAGGCGGAACTGAAACATTTAAAAGAGCAATTAGCGAATAGCGAAAAGATCAAGGAAAGTTCGACAGAAGAAATGAATGCTTTAAAAACGAAATTACATCAAATAGAAAAAATAAATGCTGAATTAACGGGCAGTAACACTCAGTTAAAAGAGCAGTCAGAGGGTTTGCAAAATAAGTTACAAGATTTCCAAGAAAAGTGGATGACTCAGACTAAATGCTTAGAGGAACAAATAAAGGTACTCAACGATCAACTTCAAAAGCAATATAAGGAATTAAAAGTATTTCAAGACGCGGAGCTTGCTTTAAAAAGCAACTATGAACAGATATTAATACGTAACGAGCGTTTAAAAGAGAATTGTCGAGAAGCAACTGAACATTTGAATACCATGCGTAATGAACTTACGTCGAAAGAGAGGCAAATGTCAAGTTTGGGTGTGCAAATATCTAACTTGACTATGAAGAATGCCGATTTAGAGAAACGTATCGATATATTAATGCAAGAATATAAACAAGAGAAGCAACAATTGGAGAAGGATCAAGATCAAGGGCTGGAACGTATTAAGGAATTGGATAATGAAATTTTTAAACTGAACGAAGAACTTGCACGCTTGCGGATCATTCTCGAAAACAGCGAATTTCAGGGTACCCATTTAAAACAAACGTTGGAGCAAGTACAAAGAAAAGTAATCGGATTACTGAAATTATGCTCCGGCAATTCGATGCCTAATAGCTCAGTCGATACTTTTGAGGAACTGGAATATCACATCAAGTCACTTATAGAGCAGAATTCTATAGCGGCAGCCAGATTAGAAACACTAGAAGTCACGCAACAGGAAAGTAATACGCGCTTGAATGACTTGTTGAAGCAAGTGCAAGAAAAGGAACGCATGCTTAATCAGCGCGGTAGTACTTACGAGGAACTGCTCGTTTTAAGGGCGCAAAATATTGAATACGAAGATAAGATTGAAAAGCTAAAGGACAAACAGAGTCAATTCATTGAGCAAATTAAGAGTGATTTGAATAAAAAAGAAAATGAGTTGCGTCGGCAGATGAAGGAGGCAAAATTAGAACATGAACAACGTTTGAAGGAGTTAAATAAGGAATTAAAATGTGAAAAAGAACACAAAAATAATAAGGAAAGAGAGCTATTGTTGGTAATAGCCGAACACAATGAAGTAAAGAGTAGATTAAGTAACGCAGAAAAAGAAGTGTGCGCATTGCAGGAGTTCAATGGTAGAATTAGAATTAACTATGAACGCTTGCTTAATTTTGAAAAACGGGTCATGGAATGTTGCGAGGAGAATGAAAGATTTAAATTGGAAATTCATGCTTTTAAACATGAAGTTTCTAAGAACGCACAATATTTAATTGATTCTGACAAAGCTATATGCAAACTAATGGAAGAAGTTAAAAATTGCGACTACTTGAAAAAGCAAATTAAGGATTTGCAAGGCTGTTTGAACCAAGGAATTAAAAAGAAGGAAATGGTCGACAAAGTCTTAATGGAACACAAGCATCTATTAGATGAAAAGGAAATACAAATAGGCAAACTGCAGGAACGATTGAATGAGCAAAGCCAGGTTCTTAACGCATATAATGATAAGTTAACTAAAATGACCACAGAAAAAGAGCGATTATTAAGAGAATCAGCCGCGTTTGTATCACAAATTCAGCGTGAACAAGAAGAAAAGAGCATTTTGCTATCATCTCTAGAGAACTCTGCAGATCAAATGAGAGCCAACATTCAAGAGGAAGAGAGCCGCTGCGAAAGTTTGGAAAGACTTAACAATGAACTCCACTCGCAATTAGAATCTCTACGCCAACAAAACGAGAAACTTCGTAATGAGTTGTCTGAACGTGAGGCCGAATTTAGAGCGCAGGTTGAAGATCAAGAACAAATTAGAGAAGATTTCCAAGAGAAACTCTCTACATTAATGCGAAAATTGGCTGAAAGCTGTGACGAACTGGAAAACTACGATATCGCACTTATGGATATGGTGGTAGTGATAGGGAATAATGTTAACCTGACCGCCCAAAAAGACGAAATCAAGAATATTTTCAATGCTTGTGACGACTCATCGGAATGCAGTGTTAATCAGTTACGTCATTGGCTTAATCGTTTACTTCATGTTCAAAGTCTCCAAGAAAACAAAATAGAGCAGCTGCTGCAGCAGGAAGACCAAAATTTAAATTCAAAAGAAGAATTGATTAAAGAAAATCAAGAGCTGAATTCCCAACTAGAGCGAAATCAAAAAGAATTACACGATATGCGTAAAAAAATGGAGAATAAAGATTCAATTATGCAAAAGCGCTTTACGAACGAGGTCGGCCGCTTGGAAGAGGAAATACTAAGCCTAGGAAAAATCAACGAGCGTATAACCAGTGAGAACGGAACACTGCAAAGCCATATTAATCAACAGGAACAAGAATTTCAAAGCGTAAAATTGAAGCTTGAAGAAACCACAGTAGACAAGCAACAGCTAACGCAGCAGTTAAGACAAATAAAAGAAGAAATGGAAAAATTACAAGTAAATTTACATGAATGCCAAATAGTTAGTGAACAGGCAACCATCAGCTGCGATATGTTAGACAAACAAAATAAAGATAAGTTAAGTAAAATCAAAAATTTGGAACAAGAGCTGGACGAGTTTAAAGAGAAAACCCAGAGGACTCAGTCTAAGCTATATGTGGTTCAACAGCAACACAATAATATGCAAATGGAACATAAGAAACTGCTCGAAAAATTTAAACAACAACAAACCGTTTTGGACACATTAGAGGCTGAATTGGCTGATAAGAGCAAAGAATTACTGAATCTGGAAACCAAAATAACTGGGATGGAGAACCAACATAAAGAGTTAGAGAAAGAAATAGCTTTTACGATTAAAAAACTGGATGAAACGGTCAACGACAAATTAAATGCCGAATTGAAATGCGAACAGCTGCGTTCGGAGGTCCAACAATATGAAAGAGATATTGCATTCCTTAAGTCGCAACAACAAAATTTCATAGATGAAAATAATCGTTTGTGCAGTGATCTCGCGGCTATTAAGGCCGACAAGGTCTTATTGAGAGATGAGATTAAAGACCTTAAAGCGGATTTACTACGCGCAAATGAAAATGTTTCACAGCTCATACAACAAATTGGATCGATAAGAATGGAAAAAGAAGGTGTTTGCGAGGAGAATCAATTGCTACGTAAGCAATTAGAAGAAGTCGGCAAACATCATACTACCTCCGAAGCGAGATTAAAGTCTTTCATTGAGCGCTGTCAGTCCTTGGAACGTCACCTTCTCGCCAGTGAAAATGAATTAAAAAATTCCAAAACAAGTTTAGAAAAGAGCGAGACGAATATCGAGAAATTAACGAATGAAAATAAAAAGGTCCGTGAATCTCATCAGGCGACCACCAAGCGGGTTGAAAAGATGGCTCTGAAATTGGGCGACGCTCAGGCACGCAGCATTAAACTCGAAAGAGACAATGAAAAATTGTGCAAGACATTGGAGGCGAATTCAGCAACTGTGGAGGCGTTGCAAAAGGAGAAAGATTTGCTGCAAAGCGAGGCTAGAGCTCTAAAAGAGCGACTTTCGCGTGCCGAAAGGGGCCATGAGCAGCTGCTTACTAAAGTACAAAATCTCGAGCATATAAATAGGACATTACAGGATGCCAAACAAAAATTAGACGCGTCTGAATTAGATGACAAATCAAAAATAAACAAACTTGAAAAAGTGCGCGAATCGAATGAGGAGAAAGTACGAAAACTTACCGCGTCGCTGAATAGTAGCGAACATTCCAATGTCAAACTTAATTTGGAAATCGGTGGCCTGAACTCGCAATTGCAAAAACTTAATTCGGAGCTTTCCGCCGAATATAACGCGCAAATTGAACAAATTCAGCGGCATCTATCTGGGGCCCAAGAGCAGGCGCAGAAATACGCGGAACTCAATCAGAATTTGACAATTCAAATTGACGAACTTCAAGATGAAAATGCGAAAATTAACGAGCAATTGTCAAAGGTTTCGTTGTCAATGAGCATTAGTAAGGAGCGTTGTGATAAATTGTGCACCGAAATGGAACAATTGCGAGCTGATTTACTGGTATTGCGGGAGGCTAAGGCTAAAGTAGAACGGGAACAGGAAATTATAAAGCAAAGTCTAAAAGAGATGCACGCCCGAAACGAACAGTTAATGCGTGAACGTAACAGTTTGGCCGAAAGTTTGGAATCACGTATCGATTTATTGGAGGACCAAATCAAACAAAAGACCAAAGAAGTAGAAAATCTGCAGAATGAACTAAAGCAACTGAGAGAAAAGGCGGTAACGCAAAGTTCAGAATTAATAGAAGGCAACAACGTTACAGCGACCAGTGCACTCGAATTGGCAGAATTGCGTGCACGCCTCTCTAACGTGAATGAGGCTCTTGAAAAGGAGCAACAATTAAATGAACAATTGCGTTCCGATAACCAATTGCTGCATGGTAAATATCAGGAAGCAAAAAAGCATGTTGCTGAAGCGACAGCCCACAGTGAAGAACGCATTAAAGGAAATCGTTTGGAATTGGAGAAGATACTGGAAAAGATGAAAGCCAAAATGGTTAGTAAATATTCCTTCCCCCCCCCCCCCCCCCTCTATTTCAATTACAATGTCTATAGTCGAGAATTGTCGTTGTTTGTTACACTTCTGGGGGCATCACACACTGCACTGGTTTTGTCTTTGGGAATTATTATTTTCTGTTTCAATATTTTTTTTGCATTTTTTATTTATATTGGCATGCTTTTGGCTTTGTTTTCCACATACGTACGGTAGATAGCGGTAGCTGTTACGGTACTTACTGTAGTTGTTGTAATTGTAGTTGTGTAGTTTACTTTTTTTTGGATACGCTATATCAACACGTAGGGTGTTAAGATGTAAAGCACAGTTCCGCTCAAAATGCATGGAAATGTACGTCTATATGTCCGATTGCTTCTTTTTTTTTTTATTCTATCAACGGATCTTTAGAATTCCCAACGTTCCAAGAAATTTGAAATTTTGTAATACTAGTATAAGGCACAGTCAAAACAGGATATCGGACTGATTCTTAATATGAAACCGAACTTTGAAGAAGTATTGCAGATTACAGCAGAAAGAACGAAATATACGACTTTGCCACACGGCGGGAGCATTAAAAACACGCACCTATACTTGCAGTTTGTACAATGTTTCCTTTATATCAATCATACTATATATATATATATATACATATCTATATATATATAAAAATGACATGCACACTGAATGTATATGTGCCCGTAGAGAGAACTGTATGTACAGAGTAGATGAAAAGAAGATGTTGCGTTTAGATAGAGGCATCCATTCCAGTTGGATTGAAAATAGAAACAGACGATGGGCACGAAGAGATTCGGCAAATGCCGATTTATTAAAAACACACTCGTTTTTCTTTCTTACATATTTGCTTTCAAAAAATTTGCGTTTTTTTTAATCATAAATTCATCAACTGAAGTGGTTGCTGATAGACGCCATATTTTTATTATCTCTCCCTCTCTCTTCCTCTCTTTATTTCTTTTTTAATGCAATTCTACATCGAAAGTATCTGCAAAAGGCTAATACGTCAACGGTCGGCCTGAAATGGAACAATCGCTTGCATTCGTGTTTCAAACATTTCTTTATTGTTGTTTTTACACAAATCATGTTCTTTGTTATCTTATATTATTTTCTTGACAAAAACGATTTAGAAATATTGTTTCAAAGCAGTAAACCTCCAATATATTAATGTAAATACAATACATACAAAGAAAATTTTTTTATTTTTTTATTTTTTTTTTTTTATTTTTTTGTAGAAAACTTACGGCATATTTATTTATGATATTGTTTTGCAAGTACTTTTTGAAACTTTATTTTAATTTGCATTTTTTTTTTTTTTTTTGTTTTGTATCATTTAAATTCGATATTTAATGTCAACCATGTTAAGTGTGCATTATGTGAATCTGTGTATGTATTGTATGTTTGTTAAGGATTTGTTGTCGTATGTGTGGTATTAAAATACACACGCATACACCATAGCAATCAGCGTAAACACATAATAATTTTGCTTAACCGGAAAGAAATTAAAAGAAAAAAAAAAAAAAAAGGAAAATTTGTCGTTTCGTTTCTTTAATTTGCCTTCAGTGTTGTTGTGTGTGTCCATAATCCTCTAAGTAAACACTAGTATATACAAATATGTACAAAAGAAAATGGACATCTGAGTTTAAACTGAGATGATAAGAGAAAAAGAAATTGAAGGGCACATGTAGTTATGGCAATAAACGTTAAGTTTAGCATAACTGAACTTCTGACCTTATGTGACATAAATTGTCTTCTGAACGGGTTTCTAACGCTTTTCAACGCCACTGCTGCGACGGTACTGCTAAGTGGCTTGATTGGTTCGATTTCAAAAGCTCGACTTTTGATCTTGATAATGAATGAAATTCAATTGAAATGGAAATCGTTTCTTTATTTTATCATCAATCAGTGTAAGCTCAGAAGTGCATTTCCCGAGCTAATTAAAAATAAACACTTATTGGGTCGCAATGTATTTAACTTGTATTTTAATTCCAATTTTAATGCTTTCGCGCACAATCCATCATATGAAAATATTTTCATTAAATCATCCGATTTGCTTAACGAAATCACTCGTAATACACATACGGCATAATTAATAAATATATGTACAAAAATCAAATCAAAACAAAACAAAAAATTGTAACATTATCAATAGAAAACGCTCTATATAGAAGATGTTACTAAAATCAAGAAGAGGCACGAAAATGAATTGGCCACCTTGAAGGCGGACATCGAAACATATAAGGCACAGGTACATATATATTTTTTTTTTTTGTCCTCTTCGCTTTACATGCTATATATTGTAATATCATGTCTATTAATTGGTGAACTTTTTGATTTGAAATTTAGAATGCGAAATATGAGGAACACACGCGTAAGCTTTCCACACAAATTGTTCGCTTAAATGAAAATATTTTAGAATGTCAAAAGGAGAACACGATATTGTCGACAAAATTGAAACATATTAGGGATCAACAGCCTTCAGATGAAAAGGATTTTGAGAAAATGAAACGCCCCAATACTATTCAAGTATCGACGGTATCATCTAATACAACGACAGGGAGAGCGTGTGCTTCAAGTTTGGGTAGTAATTTGGCTATGGAAGATGAAGAGGGTGAAATATTTAATAATACATATTTAACCGATTTGAAAATGGGACGCATGTCCGATTACATGAGCCGAGACGTATGGTAAGTGCATTAATTATAAATGTTAATATTCTATAAGAGATTATTGTTCTCATTTAATTGACAGTGTCGAGGAATTGAAACATCGCAATTCAATGCTGCCGCCGCATTTGCGTAGTACTTATGCGGCACGATTTGATCACGAATTGACCGAAGATGATTTCAAAGTAAGACAATGTGCCACAAATAGAACACAACCCGAATTAAATAACAAAATGACAAGCAATAAACAATTGCCACAAGATAATAACATTAATGTTAAAACTATTAATAACAATTTTTCAAAAACAATATCAACGCAAGAATCTCCATCCAATATAATTAAAATAATAAACCGTAATCCCCACTTAACGTAATAACGTTATTATTTCAAAAACATTTAATTGATAAATTTACTACGATAATATTGAAAAAATAAAAAAAAAATTTTTTTCTTTGGCATTTAATATTATAAGAAGAAATGAACACTTACTTCAAAATAGCTCAGCAAATTTGTAAGTTTTCAAACACGACATTATTTCCTTTATGTTCTTTTATATTTTGTTTTATTTGTTTGTTGCGATGTTCACTATTAAAAAATTGTGTCTGTTTATTAGTGTTTAATTGTGTAGTATTCAAATTTTCATTTTTATTCAATTTTTTTTTTCATCGCTATTATATCAAAAAAAGAAAAAAAATAAAAAAAAATTTTTTTTTTTTCGATTTACCTCTAGGACTGTGGTTCTCATAGTTTTGATGATAGTACGAGCGCTTTGTTAAACACTGCTGGTACGCGTAAAAAATGTTCGGGCGTTACGCATTATAAACGCCCAGGACCACCTACCCCTAGTAAGAATGGCGGACGTTTATCGTTCGGAGGGTCGTCTATTGGTAGCAACGCGGAACCTTCTCGAGAAATTTTAAAGGAGTCGAATGGGGATAATAATGCTGGGTCAAACATTGCCACTAAAACGCCGGCACGTTTTAATATATTTTCCTCGCGTTTTAGCTTGGGTAACAGTGTGCGCGATGAGGTAAGTCTTCAAGATATTCGACTCTATACTGTTTTAATTAGAATAACTATATATTTTTGTGGTATTGTCAAAGTAAACTGTAATCTTAAATTAAAATGTACAAGCCATCGGATCTGCGAATATGGCCTTTTGTTAAGTATTTCGAAATTCGGTTGAATTTCTTTGTGTTTACATATTCTCTTAGCGTGCGATGGTCAATATATATTTGAACGTCAATAAGCGTTAGTTTACTTTCTCTCCCCTGTTCAACTAAGTAATGTGTGTTTTAAATCATTTAAAGCATTTAAATAAACAATGACTCTCGTAATTACAACTATATATATATATATATATATATATAAATCATAATATGTAGACCAGGGAAAACGAAATCTAAAAATGAGGTTCGACCCTGACACCGTATTTATTCTGAACGTTGAATAAGGTTACTTATCTGAAGCATATGGTTTCACAGAGCTAGCCAGATTCCTTGCATTGCTTTTTACAACGGGTTTTAGGAAAGTGCCCTGACACCCTGTAGCTCTTGTCTAACTCAAAGTTATTACGTCATAACTTGAGTATATTGATAGAAGGACGGACAATCGATTTTTTGCGATTTGAATACTCAAAGTCAACTGAATCATTCGAGATTATATGAAAGCGTTAACAAAACGATACTTTCCCCAAACATTTGGCAAATTTTCTTTACCTAAACGGCAGGATAGGCTCTAATGACGATCTGGTGTGACTGTCGCGTGCCTTTATTGGCGAAAGCGCTTTTGGAAAAATAGATTGTTACTGAAAATCACCCAACATTTTGCTTGGAAAGGCTTTCAAGTTGTTGTCCGGCTGGTTGATCTCCGAATCGGTACGAGTTAAGGAAATTGATCGATTTGGAAACTGGTTGAAACCTAATAATCTTTCGAATTAAAACGATTCCTTTTATTTATATAATTTATTTGTTAGCCATTCAGCGATTGATTGAATTTATCACTAATTTCTGTAATCTCGCCTGTCATTGTTTATGAAATAATTTTCATTACCTATGTGCGTGATATCTGTATAATAAGTCAAATATTAATTTCACTTCAAAATTTTTTTGTACTTGACGTGTGAAGTTCTGTAGAGGTGTTGTTTTCAGTGTTTTTATATAAGTCCTTTTATAGCTATCTGACAATTAAAAAAAAATTATTCTAACGTTTCTCTCAAACTGATTTTTCTTCATGGAATTTAAAAAAAATTGTGATTTTAAGAATAATACTCGAGATTTGAGGAAGGCCTTGCAAAAGAAAAACGCCAGAGGCGATTATCAAAGCAGCGATAAAGTCGATGGTCGTGTGTGGACTTCAACGCCGCGTAAAAGTAAAATACACTTTGATCAACGACGCTTGTTGGATCAATTGATAAGTTCTTCCCCATCCCCCTCGCCATTGGCTATAGACCCACCAAAAAATACACTGAAAGAGCCGAAGAAAAAGTCATCTAATTTGATTTCTAGCGCAACACCGCTAAAAACGTTTGGGAAAATAACAAGCAATGCGCGGGATTTAAGGCTTAGGCAAAATTCTAAATATATTAGAGCAAAACTCAATTATTCAAAATATCGCAATTCTTCGGCATTCAAATCGCGGCTTTCGAAGCATTTGCAAAAGTTGTGTACGCCCACCAGCAGTGAAAGTACATCATCGGCTCCTTCAAGCGCTACTCCATATGAACAAGCGAAGCCGACGAATTATTTAAAATTATTGAATGCAGAAATGGATGAAAAAGTACGTTTTGAAAATCGCTTAAAACAATGTTCTAAACGTGAAAAAGGGATTCGACCCTCGATTTATCTGACCGGTAATATATTCGCCAAATATCGTCCAAAGCGTCGAGGCGAAAAACAGCAAGATTTGCAACGACATAAGTCACGCAATCAAAGGTTTGATGACTTTAATCGTTTTCGTAGATTAAATTCAACATCCATCAATCAAACCGAGGAGCATCATGCGGCCTATAATTTGAAGGAAAGCAATAACAATAACAAGCAACGCAATAAGAAAGAGTTTAAGAAAGATGTAACAAAAAAGTCGCTACTCCAGCAGACATATGCACATTATGACGGCGAATGTTTATGCGCTACAAAAGATGAAGAAAAAGAAGATAATAAAATTGGTGGAGTTCTTTGCCACAACGAATTGATAACTAGTCAAGATCTTGAAAATTTCGATCAGTTTGTTGCAATTCAAAACCGTCAACAATGTAGGCACCTTCTTCTACAAGAGAAATCAGACAATAGTGGTAGCCGGCAGTTCGAAGAATTGTTAACACAAACCGTTTCTACAGCTCCCTTTCAGGTCGATAATTTACAATTTAAGAACCATGACACTTTTACGGCCGTAGATTACGCTTCCAGTTCGGACGCAAACCCTTCAATTTTTGAGCACGAAACTAGCGGAGCCAGCATATCGACGACTACGCCTCATTTAGTATCGACATTGCCCGAAACATTTACACGCACCATTTATGGCAGCCATATAATATATAATCACCGTTTACCACGGATTAATACAACATTTGCACGGAAATCGTCGATTTATGTGAAGAATAAAATGAATTCGTCCAAAAGCAATGATATCATATTAATAACCGATCAAACTATAACGCTTGCCGATTTATTGCAAATGTGGAATCAGATGGATAATCTAACAAAGTTTATATTATGTTTTGCTGCATTAGCCTCGTTATTTGCCCTGGCCATTGTTGCCTCGCCGTTTCTTAACAAGCGTTAATTTAAGCATTGCTAAGTTTGTACATGAATGAAAACTTTTTTGCCTCTATTTTTTTTTTTTTTTTTCTTTATTTGAAATTTCTTAACTCTTCCAAAAAATACACTTGCAAACAATACTTCGAAGGCGGAAATTTCTTTAGAAATTTCTTCTGGAAAAGGAAAACTTCTTTAGATTTTAGATGTGCAGTGCAAAAATAATTGGCGTGAAATAGGTTAGTAGTTAAATTTTGCAAATTAAAAGTGATCTGTATATCTGTATACCGTATAGATTGTTTTCGCCTTTTAAAACTTTATATACGCGCTTTTATATACGAACTAATGCATTGAATGCAATAATAAGAGTAATGCTCGCAGAGATAACACCGAAAGCTTGAACATATGTTACTTCATTGCTTCTACTCCTATTGATATTGGACCTGCTTGCACCTGGTTTCAATGCATTATACGTAAGTCTTTGCGCTTATTCTCGTAAGAATATAGTATCGAGCAATTATTCTTGTTATGCGGTATTAATAGCTCGAGTCTCTACAATGTCGCGTAATATTTGAATATTCCTCGGTTTTGTTGCATCATATGCTCTAATACGCCAATTAATATACCATATACTTTATAATATATCCAGGCAGTTTATTAAAATTGAAATTGAGATAGAGATCCCCTCTAATATATATTTGATCGCAAGTGAAAGATCAGTTTAAAAGAAGAGGGCTTAGCTGTCAACGAAGAACTACATTCCTAAAACTGTAACTGTAAACGAATATTTATAGAAATGTTTACTGAGGTCATCTAAATGTTTAGTATATGAATGGGTATTATGAACCCGTCGAGACTTTTGTAGTTATATTTGTTTGTGAAAGTCTCTTATTTATAATTAATAAAAATTTATATAAATATTTTCTGAAATCACCTATAAATCGTTATAAGAGTGGTCCCGATCAGGTAAGTAGTAGCAGCAGTAGTACTTCAGAAATAGATATCAACTTTTACATACATAACATTCAGGGATAATGTGCATGTGTCTTATGGACACAAATTTATTTATGAAAAAAATATTTGTACATTTGTTGTTGGGATGTATTCAACAATTATTTAAAAAAATACCGGCGCAGCAGGCAACCATTTTCTTTTTTTTTTTGAAGAGGAGTACTTGACTTTGATCCTTTAGCGGAACATAGAGGATCTTTTTCGGAAATATTGATTCAAAATTAAGTAAGAACATTATAGTGGGTCATAGCCAGCCCATATTCCCTTCATTTAATTCATATAACAACTGTTCAAAATACGTTTATGTTGTATGGGAAGTGATCTAGAGAGCGATCCGGTTCAAACCATTTTCAATAGTGTTTGTCGTTGGTCCTAAAACGTGCTAGTGTGCCAACTTGCGGGCTGTATCTGGAAAATTAATCTATTATTTTGAAGAAGGAGAGGTGTTACGATATCATTATCTGGGAAATTAGAGCAGATTACGGTTCGATGGCCTATATAGCTTAGGAAAGAGTTTAAAAAAAATAAAAAAATAGATTAAAATTTGTTCAAATTCTATTAAGGGTAATTAGAGATAATAAGGTATATTTTTGTGTAATGTTTATAATTTACGTTTTCTTTTTCTCTCTCTCTCTCTCTCTTTCTGTTTTATCTTCTGTCTTTACAGAATACACCACCTAGAAGACGCCTCAGCAGTCTGTTCAAAAGAAAATAAATTAACACGAGCTATTTCTTTCTTCGTGTTCTCAATGTAGCCAAACACTATTTATGCGAATTTGTTTATTTAATATTATTTATGCTCTTTATACAATTTAGAGAAAGAATGATTTCTTTTTCCTTTTCAATATGTCTTACGTTCTACGCTGTTTACCATATTTTTGCGTATCTTGTTTTCTTGGGTTGTTTTGATTTTTTAAATTTAAATGTTGTTTAAGTTAAGCAAAAAAAAAAAAAAAATATATATATATATATACATATATATGTATATGCAAATACGTATATGGATATGAAATATTTTTATATATATATATATATACATATTATTCTTTAATATATTAAACTACGTTTTATACGTTAATTACGACAAAAGGAAAGCATGTAAGTCATTAGTTTTAAACGAAACCCAAACACACTGTTTTTTCAAAATCGTAGAAGGAAAGAACAAAGTTAAGTCAAGTGACATAGCTACACAAAATTTTCGCTCTCCTATCAATATATTATATCGCCTCGTCGCCGTCGATCATCGGACTTAGGCAACCTGGTTAATCCTCCTTACATAAACCGTAAGGAGGAGAAAGAATTTATTGTAGAAGGCTACGGTTGTCTGTTTGATCCCCATATCATTCGTGTTTGTCCGTATGTAAATGCTGGTCTTTTTTTTTTATTTTGCAAAATTTCCATTACGAATTCTCTCTCAACCTTATTATTATTATTATTATTTTCATTATTATTGCAAACTTGTTTGCACCACTAGCAGCGCGTGTCTTAAGAAGATACACTAGCGCATTGTTGTTATGCACTTAGTTTTGCAAATTATATAATGACTGCATATGTGTGACGGCTTATGTGCACCTGGATATGTTAATGAAGAAGTACAAGTACTGCAAGAAAAATAGGTTTTTTTTTTTTTTTTTAGATTCGTTCCAGTCGAAGATAAAGGTATTTCAGACTTGTCATCACGTTTGTAGCACATACATGCACATAGTGCTGACCAGCATAAGTTTCCAACGGGATCGTTTATTGAGTTGAAACAAGTCAAAGTCGCTAACGCCGATGGTAGAATCTTTAAGCTTTTTCACAGATCTAGAACACGTATATAATTGTTCAATAAGCAATTCAAGGCCAAGACTAGACCAGTCACTCAGGCAGTCAGTTAGTTTTCCTCATATGTACGGTAAGTAATGAAGCAGTTCACCCAACTTAGGTCGCTTAAACTCAGTGCATCGGCATAATACCTCAATATTTTGTTAGACGTGGGCGTGTATCTGTTCATTGATCAGAAGCATTGCCACCCTGACATTGTGCTTATAGTTTCTTGTTTATTGTGAGCTTGCTTTTGGGCGGCTTATATCCGCTTTAAGTGGTAATCGTCGGTCGTACAGCTTTGTGTACAGAATTTTAAGTTCAAATCTGCTACAAATTGCGAGTTGTATCTCTAACGTTTAACCTATGTTGGTCACGGTCATGGTTCCGGACACAATAAGTTTCAGCTTATTCATTCACTTTTTGTTATCAAAGGCTATCGATTGCGACAAATAGCGGAGCGTGGAGTCCATTACATATATCCTGCCGTTAACATGCATGTAATTAGTAGGAATATGTATGCGTTATATATATATATATGTATTTGACGCAGTAGTTTAAGATTCGTCTTATATCGAACACACGTGCATTGTTTATTTTACTTTTCAATTGCGATTTTAAAAAATAATACAAACGTGATTTTGAAAAAGAGTTTTTTTAAGTGAAATAAAACAAAAATAATCAATAAAGTATTTTTTACGTTTTTATAGAAACGTTTTCAATACGCATCAGCCATTACTTCTAGCATTGTACAGAAAATAAATGTGTGGGTGGTCTTGTATTTTTTTTTTTGTTATGCAAGTCTGAGGTAGAAATCTGTAAAATGTGCCCCTAATCAGCAGCGCGCATGATCCGGCATCTCTACGTGCTAATGCTATCCCCCCCATCCCCGCACATACTCCGTCAACCACTCTCCTCCCGCGCCTTAGTGTTACTCTGCGAAGACTGGTTGCTATTGTTTCGCTTCTTTTGGAGGTACCTTAGTGGAGCCCTTTACTGGTTTCTATTACGTCTCCTTCCACACGCTGCCCTTCTCAGCGTCATAGTTCACGGAGCACCTTTGTCGCAAACTCATGTACACCATTTCAAACCTCCATACTGTCAATCATATTTCTCGGCTCGCTCGAATCTTGTACACCGAAATATGGCGTACTGAGCATCCTACTTTACATCGGCACAAAGAGGGTACAAAGTCGATCTGGTGTGCAGATACTTCCAGAGGCGCCCGAGGCCAGTCAGAAACTGTCTAAGGTAATAATTTAGCTCCCCATGCGTTCTTTCGACTCATTGCACTAGGTTTGGTAAAAGAGCGATCTGCGTTTCGCTGTTCTTTCCCAATGCTATTGCCCATACCCTCATCAAGAGAAGTCGTCCTTCTTCCCTTATGGCTCCCAGAGTCCGACTGTCTGCCTGATGCTGTTCGTGTGTGCGCCTGTGATTGTTGCATCAGGCGAAAGCGAAAGTTTCAAAACATCGTTTGCTGTATTGTACATTTATGTTTCAGAGAAGTGGACCAAGGATTAATCTCTGTGCAGTGAGAGATCTCCATAAGTCTATAATAAAGTTGAAGACTTCTTCGTCGAAGGATGCATCTCTCCATTTTGGATCGATGGTTTTGGGCCGACTACTTCCTCAACCATCTTTGACTTGAGTGTCAAGGACTATATCCTAGTAATCATTATTTGCATAGTTGTTACTCAGCGACCAGTTTGTTCTCGCCGCTAGACCATCGCTGACGAAGGTAACATCTATTTTTGACCATTTTCCAGCTTCGCGGAACCTATCTTCGTGCAAATGACTAAGAAATATCGCTTTCAACATCGCAAATGCTTGCATGGGTGTGTGTGTGTTGGAACGTTATAAAAAATAAATAAATACATATGTGTGCGCGTGAGATCGTACATGTTTACATAACCTTCGGCAAGCCGCTCGCTCAATTGCAACTGCGTTTGTTTTTTTTGATTTTTAGATCAAAAAACTATGTCTACCCTTGAGTTTTACAACAAGAACAATCCTTTAAGACTTGTTGCGCCTTATGCAGATGTAAGGGAGCACTTATGATGCACGAATTTTGAAAGAATTTTTAAAGTTGCTTTGCACATTAAGCGGTGCTCTGTGCTTCTGTCAGACAGTCAAACAAAATAATGTTAATTGTGTCTAAACTGGCGCTCAGTGTAGTCAAAGAATTTTGATGAAGAGCATTGCCCCGTTGGAATTTCAGGCCGTCAAAATCAGTTGTCGCCATAGAAGCGCGCTAGCAACGCATTTATGTATTTTTCTCTGGCTAGGGAGTCCGAGTCCATTACTTACGAATATTTCGTGATCAACAGCTTTGCAGTTACGGATCAAAATTTTATTTTTTCCTTAGATATCACGCATTGTATATCCACCTACTTCTGCCCTATATGCCGCAATAAGTAACAAAAATTGCATTAAAAGAAAGTTTCTTTTTTAATTTAAGGTTTAAGCTTTTCTATTTGCATGACTCGCCGAGTAGGCAAAGGATCTCGACGAATTACTTAATGGCCAAGGGCTCGAATCTCAAGTGTGGTAGTGTTTTCAATAAAGCCGATAGTCTTAGATGCTAGCACTTTAGGTTCTTAGAATTTAAGTCTTAGAATTTAAGTGTTCGAATTTATTTCTCTGGCTAAAATAATAATAATAATAAGATTTTCGAATAAATTCAAAATATGAAAGCTTTTAAGACGCTTTTATTTAAAAAACTTGTTTTTCCTTTTTACTATCAACCTTTGGGAAATTTTAGCTGAATACGATCACATGCATGAGGGACGCTTCAAAGCACAAGATGTTCTTGGTAAGCGAAAGATTCTAGAGTCTCTTACAGCACGTGCAGCACGTCTGTCTAATGGAATTTATATTGGAATCTAAAATCTGTTCGAAGTCGGTAAATGGGTGAGGCTTGCGAACAATATGTAAAGAAGAACTTGAAAATAATAAAATTGTTGAGTTAAAGTTCGGCACAGACAGGTAGGTCTAGTAGCTTCAGCGATAGAGCTGCGGAATATTCCCCAAGGCTATATAATAGACCAGGCAAAACACGGTGGCGATCGATTAGAGTTGGTCCGTTCGTCAGTTGCAATAAATAGTAGAAGGTAAAATTGATGGCGTATCCGGTACGAAAGGATAGATATTAAATCGATAGTTTCATTTACTGCATTTAGAAAAAGAGCTCAGAGACCAATTTTTATATACGTTTATGTGTCCGTCGGTTCGCCATCTATTGCCAATCTGTTGCAACAATTGCTAAAGAAAGGCGAAGTACTGCAGATGTCTTTTTGATAGTTCACGTAGCTCGAAATTAAAAATAGAAAAAGTCAACTGGAAAAAAAGGAAGTTCTAGTTGGCCAGGGCCAAAGTATGCGATGGACGTATGTTTGCCGAACATATCGGCGCTTCAAATCAAACGATTTCCGAATTTGACTTGCCTTGAGTAATAACAAAAATATACTATTTAAAGTCGTAATCGTAACGCCAAGAGCCGGAGAGAGGCACAGTTAGTTAGTAGCGTCAGTTAGCGTGCGAGAGTGTGAATTGGGTTAATTGTATGAATATGTAACTTCTGAACCCTTCTGAAAGCTCAAAGCCTTTGAAGCTTGCGTATATTGTCATCAGTAATCCAAATTGCCCAAGTAACATAAAGCTAAACGATCGGAATAACTTTTGTACAGAGTACGTGAATGTCTAGGTACCTGTGACTCAGTAGCTAGAGTGTTTACGTAACTTTCCTCCTATACGCCTAAGAGGTAACATCATCTTGCGTTTGCTACCAATGGAGTCGTTTTTCTAAATTCATATTACATTATGTTATGTGGAGGTTCACTGTATAAATATATCCTTTGTGCAACTTACTGTCGTTGCAGGCCGAAGTTTTGAACCTACAAGGAAGGATAAATTAGAAGTCATAATCATCCGTAAGGACTTTTGAAAACTTTATTTATAAAAAAAAAGTGGCATTGATTTGAACATTTTTTTTTGTTTTTGCTGCAAAAACAAATTACATAAAATCAACAAATTATAATTTGAATGCATCCGGATAAAAGTTGAGACAGTCTGCGGTACAGTAGCTCGGACAATACGATTTCGAGAAAAAAAACTTTAAAACTTTAAATTTTAAGATGTGATTGATTCGCCATTAATCTACGCTACTTGTAGCGTACAATTGGCTTATTAGCCGTAACTATTTCCACCGAGATGACAGGGCTATGCTTAAGGGGCTGAATCATTATAGCGGACTAAAAACGTTTTTCTACGATTTTCCTTTTGGAAGGGGAAAAAAATAATTGAATAAAAAAATTCGAGAAAGATATCAAGCATTTAAGTATCAAAAAAAAAAAAAAAAATCCGACAATACCGCAGCCGTTCGTGTGAGTCATCTTTTATTATAGCGGTTCTGCGGTCCAGAGCGATAGATAGATTAAAAACAAAATTGAAAGTCCATCTAATCTACATATTGATAGTTGCAGAAGCTCGTAAAAATTTTCACCACTACTGACTCTCATATGATTGGCGGCAAGTATTCGAACGAAAAAAGTTCAATTTTTTGACTTGAAAGAAAGGCATTCTCTTCAGGTCTTATTATTAACTTGGAGAGAGAATAAAATCCTAAGACTAAAGTCTTAAAATTTTAGGCATCTAAGTCGGCTGAAGACTTTATTGAAAGCTCTGTCACACTTGAGACTTGATCCCACAACCATTGAATAGTGGGACCCTTCGCCCAATCAGCCGCTCATTCCTTAGTTAATAAATGTGATTTTAAAAGTAGTGTCGAAAATTCGAATAGGAAAATAATCAAAAAAATGCGAGATGTCTCGTGGGACGTTTTGTAAAATCACGGTCCGCCAACAGCGCATTTGAAGTTTTGAATTCTAAAATTATTATTATTTCTATTTTAGTGTGCAATCCAAGAACAACAAAGTTGGTTCTTTATGTTGCGTTATCCTCTTCCTCGTTCTCATTCCTCTGAGATTTTATATTCGGAAGTGTTTGCCTTGTTGTTGTACTCTCGAAATAAGAATAGCCCACGTATAGTTGTATATGTGTCTCGAAATGGCGGGCAAAACGGTAAGAAAGTAAAAGAAAAAATATTCTGGAGCCGAAGTCATAATCAATACGATGAGACTGAGACTGGCTTGGGCCCTCCTTAAAGTTTTTCTTATGAGGTTTTTTTTTTTTTTGAGACAGGCCAAATTAGTCGGGGCGCTCGAAAATTCCTGCGGTTGCATGATTATGTTCGGAAATTACGGGTTTTGGACCATTTCGTTCACCAAACCCCCTTTCATGTCGTTTTCGCAAAACTAGATGGTATTACTTCTTAAAGACGATAACGTGGCTAAAAAATCGTTTATTCATATCATATTTATTGGTTGCTAAGGGCTCGTGAGGCAAGGTGATATCTATTACAACAAGGCAGTTTAATGTAATTTTTTTTTTTTTTTTTTTGAATTTGTTTCAAGAAAGATCTTACAAAGATCTTGTCATCCTTAAAAACGTGATCATAAATCAACTAACACAGCGGTCCCAATAATATCAATTACATCAATAGTTATTTAATAAATAATCATTTAATGTTAGAATTATACAAAATTAAGAAAAAAAAAAATAAATACAATCTATTCTACTCAATGTAGAAAACGAAATGATGCGCATTTGAAATTTTATGCAGTAAACACCGTAAGGCATTTGATAACAGTTACAGATTAGTAACAAAAAATATATTTAAATTAAAATCAACAAATGAAAAGTTGACCAGATGTTTTCGTTGGCAAGGAGAGTGGGAAAGTGATGGAAAGAGCGAGAGGAAGGAAGTAAGAAAAGGTATGTAATGTAGACAAATAGAAATTTAAAACGAATACCGGTTAAGTAAGAATTTTGTATATTTTTCTCAACTAGATTTCTATGCAAATTAGTTGACAAAACTGCGGCACTAGCAACACCACCACCAGCACTAGCACCACCACCAGCACTAGTAGTAGCAGCAGCAACAGCAACAGCAGCAACAACGGTTGACAATAACAAACACCAACGCAAAATGACTTTATGAATATTATGAAGTAAAAATTACAACTACCCTGTCTTCTCTGTGGGATCGAAATTGTACACTGAAATGGAAATTAATCAAAGAAAATTGACTTTACTCACACTTTTATACAGTAATAATAATAATGATAATAATGATAACATTACAGGAACCTAAGTTCATTAAGGATATAAGGGCAAATTTCAAATCCTATATCTGGTCACTTACATATGGTCACTTGTAACTTTCACATACGTATATGTCTGAATATATTTTATATATATCAATATATGTTTATATATATATATATATATATATATATATTAATAAATGTTTATATGTATTAATATTATAATTCTCGTTGGTATTAACGTGAAGTGCGTTGTGTTTGGTTATAATAAGGGACTTGTGAGTGCAAGCCAAGCCGAACACCGCTCGTGTCAACTGAATATACAAAACCGATAAAAACTCGATCGAAACCAGTGAGTAGATCAGTTCAACTTTAGGCAAGAGTTTAGATGCTGGTTGCTAATCAATAATTAAAACGCATGCAAAATTCGATTTATTCAACAAAACACAAAAAATATAAAATAAATTAAAACTAAGTGAAAATAAATTCAATCAACAGATTATAAATAAATTCATTTATTTATTTTTCCTTTTTCTTTTTCCTAAATAAAATATCCTGCTTACATCAAATGCTCGTTTGGAACGATAATCAAGACACTAACTTTAAATTTTGCTGAAATTCAAATGCAATAATAATAATAACAACAACAACAACAACAGCAACAACCCAATAGCGTTACCACCAAATTAATTTCATTTAAACCTGTCTTTATAAAAGTTTAATAAAAGAAACTTTTTTTGCTTTTTATTTGCAAAAAAAAAAAAAAACAAAAAAAATTAAGTGCAACTTTTCGCTGTGATTTACTTTTAAAAAAAAAGAAAATTCTTTTAAGACTTTTTTCTTTTTTGTGTGATAATGGTTACAAGTGGCACGGAAAACAACTTAATTGCAAATACAACAAATTCAGCGACATATCTATCCAATACCGTCAAGGGTCGGACATCATGGAACATCAAAACGACGACTTTGGCTAAAAAGACAATTAATCGTATACGCGGCATCGTCGAATCATTGAAAATCTCTCCAAATCCTGAAAAACCAATGATACCGCTAACTATTGGTAAGTCCATGAGTCCATCAAGCGTCTACGTCGAGTACGTGGAAAAATATAAAAAACACAGAAGAGTGCTAAGTGAGAAAAGAAAATTAATACGAAGATGAAAACTTTCCTTGAATGTGTTGCTTAACCAACTGTCTAAGAGACATAATAGAGAAATGCTTTTCTAAGTCAAGAACGATGAGTCATTTTCGAAATATTTTCCTTTGAAGATGTGATGGAAGGCAAAAGAGATGATTAAACTTGTAAAAGATATAGAATGATTTTGTAATTCATTGACAAAAGATTTCTTTTCTATGCCGTACTATGCCGCAATACTCAGCGTTATATTTCCGATATCCTTGTTACGCATTAGCTCCGGATAGTGGGAACTGAGAGAGAGAAAACTGTATCTGTACATGCTACACTTAGATATTTCACACAACGTATGCAGCAATCGAGCTATCAGTTTTCGTATTGTACCTTCCGCGCACCGGCTTTGTGCCGGTTCGTTTCTTTAATGCTAAACGATTTTTAAACATATCGATTAAAACTTAATTTAAAATTGTTTCAAATACCTAAAAATGTGAAATCAATTTGAATAACTGTTTAATAAAATCGAGGCTGTTTTCAGTCAACAACAATGCCAACTCCATCGAAATCATAGATTAGTGTAAACAGTATTCAAACAAACAACGCCTTATTCAATAAATTCATAGGATGATATGTAAATGTTGCCTATAACTTATGAAATAATTGCTGGAATGTCATGAAATTTTTATACGTTTCGTTTGAATGCTTGCATTATTTAAAATAACGTATGGATTCGTCAATAATTATCCCACGTCTGTATATCATCATCCTACGAGGTTATCGAGCTTATCAATAACTTTTTTCATAATTTTCCTCTTGATTAGACAAGATGGAAATCATGGCTCGCGCACTTCGGTTTTATAAAAGTCAATAATACAGGTTTCTACTTAGTTAGACAGGATCCCAAAAACACCCACCTAACTTCTTTGAAATTCAAAACTATTTTACATTGGTTTTTTAAATCGATTTATTTCGGTTTTTTGGCATCCCTACATTTTTTAACCTCAATTTTTGAGATCGACTTCTCCATTCATAGGCATTTATAAGAATTACATACAAGTAGATCTTAGAAAGATTGCATCTGTTCCTGCACTGTAAAATTGTCATTGGTCCAATTAAGACTAGTTTCTAATCTGATACAGATTTGCACTAAATAGAATGAGCATTTTATGAGTCGTCGAATATCGACAAGCCTCCATTCCATTGAAAATATCCAACATTTCTTATAATATCTTTTGGCGTTTCTACTTCTCTAAGTTTACCAATTACTAATTATAAGTTACCTCCTATGCCATTTTCGAAACAGCATAGGCCCGAATTTATCATTGAAGCAAGTTAGAAGAGCCCAATGTCTCCGGCGAAATGCTTTAACAGGATTCAATTCAGTTAGTAACAAACTCAAGTTATCAACGAAGCGGATGCTTATTAGAGAACAAGTTAAGAAAATACGTTAACGTCACCGGGCACCACTTCACTTAATACAATAACTCGTATAAAGACATTTCAAAATAAGACGGTTATATGCAAAATTGGCCAAAAAAGCGGTCTGATCCGGAGAAATCCCCAATAGCTGTCGTCCTTGTGCCAAGACATGCCCATGTGCCAAATACCATCCAAATATCTTAAAAATTGCAAACTACCAGTTGAGCACGAAAATATATGGACAGGCAGGCTCAGAATCACTTCCTGAATCGATCTAAATTGGATAAATTCTCAGGGCATATTTACTCCGGCACATATTTTTACTTGAACAGTAGATATTTTGAATGGAAAATCGCTTTTTGTGGATTTTTTCCCTGTTTGTGCCCTTCTTTGTGAATTTTTGCACACCACAAACTTATATCACATATTTTTTAAGAATTTTGCAAATAGTAAGCAACCCGTTTATTTTTACATCGTAAATAACTAAGTGAAGCGAATATAAAGAGCTCTCAAAATCATAATGAAAGTTAAAGGCGGTGCCAATAATTTCAAGCATCTTAAGAATCGTTTATGTAACGAGACGTGGAGTTGTCGTATTAGCAGCCACTCGAGTGCTTGTTCTTCTTCTTTTTTTTTTTTCTTTACTTTTATGAGTGAAAATTCGGTTATAGATTTCTTTATATGACGTCAGTCGCACTTTATCAAATCAAGAACATATACACTTTCGTACTTTTAGGTACACATACGCTTTGGTATTCTTATACAGGCGTATATATATGATAAAAGAAATATATACTTATATATATATATATATATATCCAAAGATGAGGTAATGTGAACAAATGTAATTTGATTTCGTTTCATCGTTTTTATCAGTTCATATTGTAACTACTAAGCTTTGTGTTTGTCAAATGCTTCAACAAATTTATTTTTCCTAATTAAAATATAATACTTGTGTACTGTAGGAATAATTGATATTTACATATGGTCGAGTACAGTATATTCGCACATGAGTGAGGAGATTAACTAAATTATTGCCCATCCCTGGCTACTATTGCTTTTTCCCAACTCTCATGCAATTTTCAAGTGACATTTCCTAAAAATGTCCCGTCTTTTGAGTCAATCTCCAAAAGAGTCCATAATTAAATTTGAACAACCAATAAGTCCTCAATTGAAGCTGAATGGAATGAGCACCGTTCGCTAATATAGCGGAGGCGGCAGGAGGCTCCTAGTCGGAAATGTAAACATTTCCTAAGCGACTTCCATTGCGTCAATCATTATTGATAGTGATGGCTTCTTAGTTATGGTTTCATATGTTTGGAGCAAGCCATAGTGATTTAGCTTTATCGCCGATGTTAATGGTTCGTGTCCTAACAGATCCATTGCTCATCGCCCGTAAGGAGTTAGCAGCACTGTCCTTCAAATAAGCAAAGTAATTGAAGTTTCCCGAAAATTGGACTTTTTCTAGCACAGAGCATAAAGAAGCCATAATTTTTTACCGTATAGTACTGCCTACAATCTCTTTTAGAACTAATTTATGCTCTTAGTAAAAAATATTAAAGACTCATCCCTAATTCTAATTTACACAGCTTGGATAGCTTTTTATTTTGCGGGTCAAGAATACCAAACTTTTGTACGACACGAACTTTCACATTAGGTACAATAAATGAAGCCATCGCCCGCGGTAAATCAATCCTTTGTTACATCCAAAATTTGATGAAAAATTAGTTTCCTAATCCCCTAATTTATATTCACTTTTTTACTAAATTTCGCTTTGTACAGTATATTTAAAAACTCCGACCATAGGGATTCGCAAATATGACCTTTCCACTCTATAACATTTTTTAAAAGTTTCGGTAGATATACGCTCAACTCTCTTTTTTCCACGACAAATGCGTTTCTTAGCACACCGTGCAAAAAAAATCGCATGTGACATATTCTAAATGTGGGAATATTTTCCACAACTATTAAAAATCGTGAAAGATGAAAAAACTGTCAATGTTTACACAAAAAGCCATGCCAAAAACATATTTATCAAACAAAAAAAAAAAAAAAAAATCCATTTTTACCACAAAAGAATGAAGGGATTTGTACAGTGAAAATCGAGTCCAGAGGTACAACATACAAAAATTTAAATCGAAATTAAGAACAAAAATCAATTTTGCAACCATTCATCGCTACTTGAGAACAAGCGTCCACGTTGATTACGGTCTGAACTAAAACTGCTATCATCAACTGATATGCCAGTTATGTGTAGCACAACTACTGGGTTTGACTGGAATGAAGAATGATCACAAAATTCGGGTATTGCCCGTAGTAAATCCAGCCGCTAACATATGTGTGGGCATAAGCCGAATAACCTCTAATCACGGTATTCCTACAACTGTATTTTGTCGCTGTATGCATAAGTTTCTACAAGACCTAATCGAAATTCGAATAAAATGAAATTTTTCGTGTAAATTCGTGTAATTCGTGTAAAACAGTGTATTTGTTCTTGTTGTTATTTGAATTCGTGTAAAGGAAGAGCTGTGTGTATATAATAAATGGCAATAAATTCTTACTTGCTTCGACATAAGGATTTCATGTGCACCTGCTTCATCATCACACTCGATATCAAGGCAGTTTTCTTCTACATAAAAATCGCTATCGATACTCTAACTACTTAGTTGCTAATCTGTTCTTAATGATTATATTGTATTAAGGAAAGTATTTGTGTGTCGAATCAAGAAATATATTCCGCGAAAACAGCCATGGGAGATAAATAGATAACGTGTCTTGTGCAATATCTCACGGATGATGCGAGAAATTGCATAAAATAGATTAAATTTACAATACATGTTTGCCAACACACGATGCCAACTATAGTTAAGTTATTTCTACAGTATATAACTGTTATTTTAGTAAGCAAAATATATTCGCAGGCCTATAGAATATTTATAGAAACGTTTACCGAACTAGAATGCTCCAATGCGAAGTAATAAAAACAATGAAACGAAATCAAATTAGTTCTTATACCTATCGTCGAAGGATGAGAGGTGTATTCATTTTGTTGAAGCGTTTGCCACGGCCAGAAGGAAACTTCAGAGACCCTACAAAGTATACATATTCTTGATCAGCATCAAATTCTGAATCGATTTAGCCATATCCGTCTGGTTGTCAGTTCATCTTTATACGCAAAACTGAAGCTATCGCTATCAAATTTAGCAAAAATATTTGCAGATATCTATTGAAAATGGACTAAACCGATCGGAAGGCATGTCTGCAGTACTACGTAAAATGAGGATAACTCGGTTCGTGAAAAGGAATAAAAAATTGTTTTTTTGCTTATTACTCGCAAACTACTGCAAATCAATCTACAAAAATTCGAACTCATATTCTATGGGCAATGCTGTAGTACTTCTAAAAAAATTGCAAAAAAAATTTGGCAACGCCCACTTAATTTTATATCGAGCCATATTTTCATTTTTCTTTTCAAAGCATTAATATATAGAGCATAGAAGCAAGCAAGCAAGCAAGCTTCAGTCACCGCATTACGCATATAAATTGTTGGCTAGTTTCAGATTCGGAATACGCCAAAGCGTGTCCGTCCGTTTATCTATCCGTCTTCGCAATTGTTTAGTATTTTCCGCAACGATGAAGATATCACCCATAAACTTGCAAAAGAATTTAAAAATCACCCAAAACTTTTCAAAAGGTCATCCCTACAACACCCTCACGTCTTTGTAACATAAACTGTGAACACCGCCGCTTCGGGTTTTTTGATTGTTCCTCATAAAGTACAGCAAATACATTGTGTAAATTTTTACTTTTATTCTGGAAATAACACAAGGCACCCGCGTCCACCCAATATAAAAATCTAGGGTCACGGTGACGGCCGAATATAATTTTTTCACCATGGTGTGTATAATTGATAAAATGTGACGTCATATCAAGAAATCATCATGAGATTTATTTTCCAAACAAATAACGAGAGTAAAAGAGCAAGCTGCCAACATAACAGCTTCAGACATTTCTGTCGTGCTAACAGAGTCACCAAAATACGGTTTACCTCACAACCTGACATTGTGTCTACATTGTGTGTTGAAAAATATATATTTATTATAAGGGAATGTTATATTTCGATCCGTATATTTTTGTTGTACAAAGCAAGCAAAGTATGAAAAGATTATCAACGGACTTTAACGATGAGGTCCTTTCAAGTAATTTTAATCCAAGCACAACCCATAAATCAAAAAATTCTCTTTAACTCGAAATCTGGACAACTGATTAAGCAGGGTAGTGGCCCGACACAAAAACAAAATATGGTTAAGTGAGTTTAATTAACAATTCGATGAGAGATAATTTAGATCATCACTGACTATCCAGAAAGAGTTCGCTTAAAAATTCAGAGCAGATAAGGCACAGGATCGACACTTTAGCAAGTGGGTGTGATATGTCTTTGACTATTGGAACCTAGTATAGAAGTCCATGAAAATCGGAGGGTACAATAATATTTAAGTGGAATCAAACTTCTCTGCATAACTCTTAATTCCAAAAATCCGTACATTCAAAACCGATCTGTTCGTTCTGGCTTAATCATATCTCATTCTCTTGTCTTCTCTAATCTTGTATTGCCCTAATTTTAGAAGGTCTTTGCGATGCAATTATTATCATAATTGCATTCATTTCAACCGGCTTGCTAAGACTGATAGTGTAGCATGTGGAAAAGTCGGCTTACAAATCTTACTTTTATTTTTATTGAAAACACAAAAGCATCTCATCCATCGTTAGCGTTTTTCCAATTATATTCTTCAAGGTGTCTCCTGGAATAGCCATCGGAGCCAATGTACTCTTAATTAAATATTGTTTAATATAAAGTTTTAAGTTTTTTTCAACGCTTTGATTAAATAAGAAAAAACTGAATTTTTTTTATATTAATCCAGTTTATTTTATGATTGTAGTTATTATTAACAGTGGTTTGAATGGCATCGGAAGAAAGCTTTAGGCAAACACTTTTACATATAGTTAATAAATAACACACCTTCTAATTTCCACCAATCAGCAAAGAACGCACATACACACGGAGACAAAGACAACGGAGAGCGAGAGAGATTGATCTATGGCATCTGTGCTCTTGCATACATTTCAATATCTTTAAAAGTTAAAGATTTCGAATTTAAAAAGAAAAACATGCTTCAATTAATGAAATTTGATTATTGGTGGCACTGTTCTTGTCTATGATACATGAAAACATACATGTTGCTTAAAGCTCGCCGTAAGACACACTTCTATTATAAATTTTTAACATTTGCATAGAATATATATATATATATATAAACAATATATATATATATATATATATATATATAAACAACGGCAACAACAACAACCGCAACAATATGATTTGTTTAGAGAATTGTGCATTTGCATAAAATGTTGTTTCACCTGTTGTCACTAAAATCGTACGATTGCGTTCGCATATGATATCTTATAAAAGCCGGTTACTTGTTTTTTCTTTTATTACTTTTTTTACTCATTCTTTTGTTGTTGTTTTGTCTGTTTAAGATTTAATATAAAATCGATAATGTGCGCAGTTTAAACAACATTTAGCCCTTAAACCATCTTACGTTTCAAATGCCTGTCGTTATATAATATAGTTATAAAGATTTAAATTTCAAATAATTTTCTTCATAAAGATACGAAAAGATAAAAAAAATAAAAATAAATAAATAAATAAAAAATAAATATTACGAAATGACCAAAGTAATATTAACAGCCAATCGTTATAAAACATACGCACATGTGTATGTATCTAAATTAATTGCTTAAATATCTTTTAGATTTCATTTTATTTTTATTAGATTTAATAAATATTTAATTAATTAATAAATTCATTAACTTTTAGCAAAGAGATCATTGTTTGAGAAACGTGTCCTGGTTGTGAGTGTGACATGTGTGTGTATATAGATATATAAGATTCGTCAATCCGTCTGGTTTTGTTCTTCTCATTTTATTAAATTTTATTCATTGCTTGTATCAATTTTTGTTTAATAATTTTCTCTTATTTACTTTAGGTGATCCAACTACATTTGGAAATCTTAAGGCCTCGTCAGAGACAATGAAGGCTGTGTTGGAGGCTGTTGAGAGTGGCAAATACAATGGCTATGCTCATAGTCAGGGTCATGAGGCCGCTCGTCGTGCCATTGCTAAATATAGTGCTCATCAGAGTTCGGAAGAAATCAAGACAGAAAATATTTTCATTACTAGCGGTTGTTCATCGGCCCTGGAATATTGCATATTAGCTTTAGCAGAACGTGGACAGAATGTTCTATTACCACGTCCTGGTTTCTGTTTATATCAAACTTTAGTCGAAGGCCTAAACATTGAGGTTCGCTATTATGACTTGTTGCCCGAGAAGCAATGGCAAGCCGATCTTCAACAATTGGAATCAATGATTGATGATAATACGGCCGCTTTATTAATAAATAATCCTAGTAATCCGTGCGGTAGTGTATTTAGCAAAGAACACTTAGAAAATATATTAAACATCTGCGAGAAATACTATCTACCTATAATAGCCGACGAGGTATGCTAACCAGATGGACTATTATTTATGTGCTTTTGTCTTTGCGTTTTATTTGATTCACGTTATTATTTTTTTTATTACTTTTCATAGATTTATGAGCATTTCGTATTTCCCGGTTCGCAGCATATAGCGGTTAGCAGCTTGTCTCGTAACGTGCCGGTACTTTCATGTGGCGGTTTAACGAAACGCTTCTTAGTGCCCGGGTGGCGTACTGGTTGGATTATTGTACATGATCGTGGAAATCGTTTAGTCGAAGTGACTGCCGGCCTACGTAACATGTGTTGTCGTATTTTAGGTTCGAATACTTTAGTTCAAGGTGCCATACCTGCTATACTAGAGAACACTCCGCAGGTCTATTTCGATGAGGTTATAGATATTTTACATGAAAATGCTAAGCTTACGTACAATATGCTAAAGCAAATACGCGGTCTTAATCCTATTATGCCTAATGGGGCCATGTACATGATGGTTGGTGTGAATATTGATAAATTTCCTGAATTCAAAGATGATTTACATTTTGTTCAAGAAATGGTTAATGAACAGAGTGTCTTTTGTTTGCCGGGCAGCTGCTTTGAGTATCCGAATTACATGCGCATTGTGTTAACAGTGCCTCGCGAAATGCTCGAGGAGGCTTGTTCACGCATAACTCAATTCTGTGAAGCTCACTACAAAGTTGACAACAGCATCATTGAAAGCAACTTATTAAACGAAACGTACTGAGTTAAGCGCAAAAAAATGTTATTATTTCTAGTGTAGCATATAGCGTGTGTAGATATATTCTCTTGTTCTTCTAACTTTTATTTCACGCATTTATTATCATTGTAGTCGCCTGGTCAATAATTTCAATTAAGGACACTTAATATGAAATTTAAAATAAATTCTAAAAATAAATTTTTTTAATATTCACTTTTATGCTTACCATGCCTAGCATACGCGACGTCGTGGCAAGCCGGCAAATGTAAGCCACCGCTGGTACTTGCCTTTTCTCCAACTAACTAAAACATATATTTGACGGCAAACGCAATTTGTCACGTAAAAGTAAGACTTTCATAGCCTAACTGTGACCCTGTTCTGTTGGCAGCCATTTAAACGTTTGCGCTTTCGTTCCCGTTATCTTAAAACATCCTCCATATGACGTGACTTAATATATATGTGTGTACATTTGCGAAGAAAACCAAAAAAAAGAAGAAAAAAATCCAAAGATGAGGTAACGTGAGCAATTGCAATTTGACTTGGTTTCGTCGTTTTTATTAGCTCATGTTCTGAATTTTGTACCTGTGCAACGCCTCAATAAATTTATTTTCGTAGTTAGAAAACTTATACTGTAGGAAATGATTGATATATATTTAATATTGTATATTTGCATTCACACATATTTCAAATATTTAATAAAATTCTCTACGCCTCACTGAAAAGTTTGCACGTTGCATAGCACGTTACCAATTTATTGCATATGCTTGTTCCCCCAGTATATATTACAGACCAACGCACCAGAATTTTCTTAATTCAAATATAATGTAAATGTAATAAAATACACAAAATAATTGTGATATCAGATGTTCACTCTCAATCTTAATTTTTCCAAATCGGCATACTCCGACACGAGACAAGAATATCAAATTCCCGCGCTTCCAAACAACACGCTTGCCGTTGAGTTCAACAAATAACGTCTTTGGTCAATGCAATCACGATCTATGGTATACATATAAATATATATATATATATATATATATATATGCGTGCGTGGTTACGTGTGTGACTTCATTTTAACTATATTGTGCTATTGATAACGCCACATCACCTCTTGTTTCGTTTGCATCGCCATAGAGATTTCAAATGTATCTGTTTTGTCATCTACTGTCCGACATCATGTATCAACATCCTGACCACTTCCTTCGAGGTAGACCGCTTCTAATGATTATAACTCGGTAAGCCCTACGTCGTTTCTTGCTTGCTGATGCTGTTTGCTATTCCACAAAACCTCTTTTTCCATTTGGAGAAATGTATACATCTAGTAGAAGTATATATAAATTTTATTTGTAAATCGTTTCATTCAATAGAAACTAGAAGTTCGTCAGATAATTTTAGTATCATCAAAGACTCGGATTCGAAACCCAATCACGTTGTATTTCATTTTCAAGTTGCAACTATAATTTTTTCCTCAATTGATTTTTTCCCCTCTTGAGTGCTCATCCAATGACTGATGATTTTTTCTATGGCGAGTCGAAATAGCTTTCACTATTAATATAGATATCCAAAAGGGGAAAAAATGGGTTCTGTTGTGCAACTTTTTTGCCGTTTATTATCGTTTAATTTCTTTTTCGACGAGGAGTTATTTGCGTATGGTCCTCACTTCAACATCTGACAGAGCTAGTGTATTTTTCAATGAATTTTTTGGTCAAAGCCTACTTCAATACAATCATATTCCTAATTGTAATGGCAGACTGCTCGATCTAGATCTATTGCTTGTCAATCCTCCGGAGATTGTTCTAAACTGCTGTCCACCTTGCAGCTGACGTGATAATCCGTATCATCCAGCAATTTGTTTGTCCTCTCTTTACAAGCAAGATGGCCCATTGAATAATTCTTAACATGCTAAATCCCACCTACAAATATAAAATACTACACTATAATGCTTAAATCTCATCTTCCGCATATTACGCTTGATTTCTCGGCTGCGAATATGAAAACTCCATTATCCTCGTTCTATAAAATTGAAAATCTCTCAAGAAATATTGTGAAAAGTGGTGCTACGTACGATTAATTCGTTTACTCCAAGGCATAGATTCAATTATCTCAACCAACGAAGCTACCGCAGATACCATCAAACGATAAAATTTTCGCTTCTTCTTATTTCTCAATACTTTAATAAATTTGTAAACTCCATAAGAAGAATATCCATATGTACCTTCTCAATCTCTTCTAATGACTCAGACTGATCTGGCAATATTGAAACGTCGAATCTCTTTACAAATCACAAACTCGTTTTTGATTCTGAATTTGGTCTTTTCAGACAATTAGTTATTGCTAGGTTTATGGTCACTGAAATGTAGTTGTCCGACTGGGCTTGGATGTGATCTTAACTCAGGGACACTTAATCATTCTTTGAAAACACAAATGTGAAAGCAGACATCTCGTCGAGAACTATGAAAGCATTGCCAATATTGAGCGGCTTATTTAAATTGTTTGAACGAATTGTTACTCAACACTCAGCATTCGTTATCAAATGTTATGCTTCTCCGTTTCCGTATGGCTTCCTAAAAGAGAAATTAACGATTGCGAATCTCTAAGAGAACACCGGCCATGGCTTCACGGCTCTTCCTAGTGACGCTCACACGGATGTTGCATGCACTGATTTTTTTGACTTAGTTAGCCATAAATTATTAATGTTAAAACAGCAATCTACCGTCTTCCCTGCATACTTATCGAAAGCTCTTGCCTCCACAATAGATCGCGCAGAGCTCTCTTTAACTATATAACCTCTGATGAATTCCCCGTGACTCATGTGTCCCTCAAGGCAGTCACTTACGACCTTTTCTATTTGTCCTACACATCAACGATCCCCTTTTAGTGATTAAGTCCAATCATATCTTAATGTACTCTGATGATATTAAACTGTTTTCTTCCTTTATCTTGAAATCGTACTCGTACCTACTTCAATCTGACTTAACTTGAGATAACTTGATTACATGATGGTCACTCAATTTTAACCTTCCATTCTCAAGCTCAACTCTTTTCGCTACAGATTATTCGGCGGATTGACAAAAGTTTGGAAATGTATGTAAGATTCGTTCAAGGCTTCATTCGGCTTTGAATAAAGCTAGGTCAGCGCTTTGTTTTACTCAACGTTGCTTTGAAGAGTTTTGTATTAGGATAAGGCTAGCCATGAGCTAAATCAGATCAGAGCTGTTGTGTGGTCCCCATCTTATAGGCGCGTTCAAAAGCATTCTTCACTCTTTGACCTTAGCAAATTGCGTTGGGACACGCTTGATTCTTTGGCTGCTTATGAAAATAGATTGCTTTCGTTTGCCTTAATGTCGCTTGATAAACGTAGGTATATCCTTGGTCTTTCCTTTTTAGTTAAGCTAATAAAGGGTATTATTATTGATTCGCATACTTGCCTGGTGAGATAAATTTCAATGTTCCGGATCGTTTCTCTAGACACTTTATTTTCATTAAAACTAAGTTAATGTAGATAACATAACGAGCTTTTCAACCTATTTAGAATCCTTTCTTTAAACCCTCTCAAATCAGCTCTTCTAAATTTACGCGCTTTATCAATATCGTATTAAAATTAGCTTCTAATCTTGATATGTTCGTATGATTCGAAAATTGAACTGGATTTGTTCATTATTATCGGTTACCAAGCTTTTGCATGTTTGCAATGGCCTAGCGGTGCACTTCCAACTCCCATTTACGTGCACGGGGCTTTTTTCCTTTTTTTTTTTCTCTTATTTATTTATACATGAATTCTCTTCTTTTGATTTTTCCCATATATTTTTCCTAAAATACTTTTCAATAGTTATTAATTAAATTATAGCTTAAGATTTATTTCTAAGAGTCAATTGAACTCGGCTGTTAATTTATTTTAGTTGAATTTCATATGTAAATAAATATATAAACAGTAACTTGAAATCTCTGTTGCAAATTAAAGATAAGTTAGAATTGGGTGTGGTACTGACGGAAAGCATAGACAACGATTTTGAGAGTTTGCAGTAAAACCAATTATCGGGCCGCAATTCCTTAACAAAAATCGCTGAATGTCCATTTCTCGAACTTAAAGGAGACAGTATTCGCAAAATGTATTATCGTCGTTTCGTTAAGTATGTAAAAGCCAATTTCCCCTCGTTATATTTTGTCAGGCAATGCCAACAAGTGCGCCTTGATATTATAAAAAGAATTTACAATTTTCAAAACGATAACGTAATTTGGAAGCTTTTTTCGAAGCTCATGACGTCATGCTGTAAAGGGAAGGGACAGATGCTTTTTTCGCCAGTAGTAGTAGTAGTAGTCCTGGTCTTGTGCAAGGCTGTGCTCGTTAGTAGTTAAACTGGCATAGCTTTGAATTGGGGTTCGATGCCAAAATGAAAGAAAACACGCAACTTCTAAGATTACCCATGAGTATTTAAGTATTAATATTAACATTTCGGAATTGGGTTATTGAAGTTGTGGACTCTCAACCCAGGGTTCATGCGTTTTCATTTCTGTTCACAAGAATACAATTTGAAAACAAAGCCAGTACCATCACACAACGGAAAATCTGTCAGGTTCAGAAAATTACCAATGCTCGCTTGTAGAATTACTCTCTGAGGTTACCATAGTCGAAGTTAATTTATTTTGATAAGTCGAAAGTTCGCCTGCCGCACTCCCATTTTTTTTTTGTTTTTTTTTTTAACCAAAAACAAATAAAAATGTTCTCCACATCAATTCCAAAACTGAACGCCCTTTTTTTTTCTTCTTGACATCTCCAGGGATGCCAATTTTGGTCCCCATTTCATTAATATTCTTGAAATGTGGGTAACTCTCACATTTCTACCCCGATTCTTGAATACTTTTTTAATTTCACGAATGTGAGAAGATTTATCCCTTTTTTGTGATCGATCAAAAGGAGAGTCTGCAAAATCCCAAGATTTTCTGCGGAATTTTCAAACAAGAATGTATATTACCGAGTTAAAATCCCGTACTTATTCTACTAGCTGTAAGTATTAAGTTTGGCTTTGAAGAAAGTCAAAAAAAGTCTAAATATTACTTTTTGTGCGAAAAACATTTCAACACTTTCGGCAAATCTTAAAAGCTGAAACAATTTTTAAGAATATAACTACGATTGATTAGGGACGCTTTGGAGCTGTGAGGTTATTTTGTCTTCTTCTGTACCACGTGAGTGGCCGAATAGGTAAGAATCGCGACTAACAAGTCACCGTCTACGTAAACTCACACATAAAGTTTACTTTGATCGTAGCCAATGCTCAATTGCCGATTGGGCACAAACCCACCATCACCTCACTTATATCTTTTCCTTACCTCACTTCTTTCTGGCCGTCAGGGCGTTACACGAACAGATGACATTCCCTGAATGAGAAGAGATTACTTTGTCTTCTGAGAGGGTAAATTGTCCCCGTCAAAATAGAAAAGACTCGGTGTTCGAAAACGGAGTATTTTACATGATCCTTAACAAAGTCCGCGATCAAATTAAGTTTCATTAATATTCATTTCTCCTGTCAACTGAGATAGTTACAGGATGAATAGGTATTACTACTGTTTTTTGTTTGTCACGTTTACCTTCGTCACGTTTTTCATACCCTACTAAATACATGAAACTTGAAACCCTTAAAAGAAACAATCAACATCTGTTGGTATATTGCTTTCACGCAACAGCTGATTAGTTATTCTCACGGTACTCTTAAATATGAAGACAAAATGTAAACATTCGAAAAATTCTAACAGATTTTGGGGCAAATAATTAAGAAAATGGCACGATTTTCGTTAGGTGTGCCAACATTTTGTGTTAGAAACTCATTGAAATTTTACCAGCAGCCACAACGGCAACAACACATTAAACAAGATGCCGGCGAGAAGGAATTAAATGCCTCCAGGTATTGCATGGCATTAGTAGAGTAAGTGATTGAAGCATGATCGCGGAGAAGTTATGTAAAAGAGAGTTAAAATAAAAAAAGAAAAATTATAGGAAAAATGATTACGAAAATTATTTGTGCACATTGCTGTTGGGAAAGGGTCAAAGACGACATGCGTTTGCGTTAAGAGCTCTTAATGTCGAATTAGCAAAGTGTGGCGCAATGGTAAGTAAATCCAATATCGTAAACAGAGTAACTGCTTATAACAAAATTAGTATGTAAACTTTTAGATTTCTGACCAACAACAACTTATTAAAATGCGTTTACAATTTTGGAGCGATTCAATAGATAAATGCTACGATTACCAAAAATCCTATGTGGCAGATCAGCCAGTATTAAGTGAACTGAAACATGTATAGTTAACGTACTTTACAATAGTTTTTCTAACCAACAGAAAATTTTTGCTATTCTTTAAATATTTAGACTTTGGGCTCCAATAAATTGAATAAAGTTTATTTAAAACGCTTGGTAACAGCTAGAGACCGTGCGCCCAATCAACCATTTGAGACCGTGAAAGATATGGAGAATTACTCAGAGCAAACTTATTCCTCATTGTTGTACCTTCTCGTAGAATTATGTGGTGTTAAAGACCTCCATGTAGATCATGCTGCTTCACATTTGGGAAAAGCCCAAGGCGTGGTTACGCTATTAAGAGCCGTTCCTTACACTAAGCGCGGACAAACACTAAATGTTCCTCAGGAACTACTCATTAAAAACGGTGTTAGTGAAGAACGTTTCTTAAGGCACAAATTCGATGACAAAGGCGTCGCAGATTGTGTATTTCAGATAGCGGCTGTAGCTCACCAACATTTAGAAAAGGTAAGGAAAGTAGAATTCTGTTTTCAATGTCATCCTCTTATGTCTGCTTTTTCCAGGCTCGTTCTCTCGCGGACAAAATACCTAAATTGATACGTAAAGTTTTCCTACCTTCCGTTAACGTAGAACGATATTTGGAACGCCTGAGAGCAGCGAATTTCAAGTAATTTTTTATTCAGATTAAATTCATAAAAAATAGATAAAACATGAAAGTCAGAAATTCTTCTTTCTTTAGCATAACTCATAACAGTTGCCTGCAAAGGGATTCAATGTTGCCACTGGCTTTATACATGCATAATCTGCGTGGAAAATATTAAATAGGATCCAGATATTCACGTGGGACAAAACGATAATTTTTAGATAAATCACGAAGAGCATCGGCTATTATATAACATACTATATTGTAAATTGCTCTAAAATGTGATAAAGTAATGATATAATGTGTAATGGTTATTCCGTGAATATATGCTTACAATTTATCGACATCATATGTACTGGTTTGGGAGCCTTTCTTCATGGTTGTGAAACCGTTTATAACTTCACTGTAGCTGAGATTTGTTGGTATTTTTGAAGTGTTTCGCATATAACTCGACTTAGAGAGGTATTCCCAAAATAATTTCTCAAAGATGGTAATGCATTGGGCATTCTTTTTATGCCCAGTCTGTGAGCCTTGGTCCAAAGTGTGGAATGACTTCGTAAAGGGAACGAGCAATGGCACGGTAAATTTTTGTTGATCGGCTTCTGGCATTATAATAATTGGGTTTTCTTTCGGCAAATTAACCTTTATATCGATGTGAAGAAATACATGCTCCACAAAGCTATCTTGCCGCCATTTGGGATTGTCAATTGATTCGACTTCGGTCAATAATTGTTTGGCAATTTGAGTAGACTTGTCGAGTATGCGATGCACTTCCAAGATAGCAGGTATACGCTTAAAGTGCAATGGCTTATCGTAAGTCCTCACTGACACTATACATAAGCGCGAATGATGAGCTTTCAAGTTAAATTCACTTGGTTCAAAACTAAAGCTAAAGTATCGGCTGATGACGTATCTGAAACGAATTCGATTTCATAATGTGGACTATTATGTAAAACGAATTAACTTGATAAGGACATACGGTTGCCACTTAAAGTCCATGCACTTTTGATTGTAATTATGCACGGCCACCATAAGAAACTGCTCTTCGTTCATTTCAGTACTAAACTCTAGTTTGTTCGGATAGATTACGTATAAGAAATCGGCACAGTCATAATCATAGGTAGGAGCTTCCTTCTCGGGTTCCGGCTGTGTCAAAAAGCCTTTACAGCTAATCGGAACTTTATAACGCACATTATTGAAAGACAAACTTAATTCCAACTGAAGATAAAGGGACCTCATAAATATATCTAAAATAGTTCCTTTAATTTATCTATTGATTACATGATTTTCAAATTCGCTAGGACGGTATTCCACAATTAAGGGCCATACGCTTAGTAACGGTACTACCAGATTTGGATTTATTAAACGGAAACCGCGTTCGCGACCCTTAAACAACACTTGTATGCTTTGCATTGTTTTATTGCAAATCCATATCGGCTGAGCGACTCGTTGAAAATCTTTAATATTAACGGGTATCAATTCATGAGTTAGAATACAATCGACGGGATCAAAGGCGACAACATTTATATGGAAATGCATGAGAATTGTGCGCGAATCCGAGGTCCTACAATAATTAATTTTTGAATCTCTTTTTTCATTTCTAATATATATAAAGCATAAGTTATCGGTAGATTACTTCATTTCAAATGTCAGCACATATGTGCCGAATAGATAGAAATAAGCAATTACGCTCATGGCCACCAAATCATCGGCATTCATAACAATCATCTCTTGTGTTATATTAACCAAATAACGGTGCGGACAATGATAGAGGTAACGAAACTGATTGAAGCCTACTCGTGTCTGTTTGAGGACACAATCGCAGTTTTTGATTCGCTTCAATTGTAACGTCAACTTCTCCTTACTCATATTTTTAAGCCAACAAACAATTTTCAATGGCTTACTATTCAACTGACTAGTGGGTATAACAAAATTATGCTCAATACATTGTTGTCCTTCAGCGATTTTCGCATTGAATCTGTGTAGAAAGAAATTATATCAAAATTAAGAATTATATAATACGGACATTAAAATTACTTATCAACATCTAAATATTCCCAATAATAGACCTTTAACAAAGGCGGTCTGACAACGGTTATGTTTTCGATTTTAAACAGTTGAAAACTCGTCCTTTCAACTTGCGGTTTAGACTGCTCGCATCCCTCTCCCGCCTGTTCGTCCATTAGTAGCAAATAAATAATTAAGAAATTCACGAATTAAATGAAAAAAACGAAATTTATTTTAATAGAAAAAAAGACGTGCTTGATTTGTTTGGTTTATATATACTATGTAAATGAAATTATAGTCAAAAAAACTTTGAAACGAACTTCGACGCTGCCTGCTTAATTAAAATTAAGTTTACAACGCAAAGTTTGTAGTACTTCAATTCAATTCAATATTAACCGATAAAATGCTCGGTACGAGCGGTAAACCGATAATATATGATGAATCAAACATCTGTTGATTCAAGCATCGAAATATATCAAAAAAAATTGTCGCACTATAAAGCGCACGGTTGGGTATCGCAATGGCCACTGCAACGCATGCTACGTTTGTTCAGCTTGACTATAGTTTCAATGGTCCTGCAAATGAATACTTTTCAAAAGTATACGCATTTGCATACAAAGGCATACAAAATGCCTAATAGAAAAACAACTCGTTAAAAACTTCATATCCATCTCCAGAAAGCAATTGGACAATTTTTGTTGTAAATAAAAATATTATTTCTGAAGAAATACACGGCAGAACTGTGCTGTTCCTTTCGGTGACAACTGTGCTTTTGAGAGCAGTAAATAATAAAAATACTTTCAAACTTTTATCACTTCGTGCATTTCCGCTTTAGCGGGTGCCACTTTAGATTCTGATATTATGTTTACTAAAGGATGATGTTATTGGATCCGTAATTTGGCCGGAACTTGGATGATACGGGATGACATAAATTCCCCGATTCGATCGGGGTGTTTGTAACATTTTTGGGACCGTTGTATTTTTATATAACGCAAAAGAAATTGAAAACAAGTCGTGCATAGTTTGAACAAAAAATTTGTAGACTTGCTCTCAAAGAGAATGGTACTGCTCTTTGTCAACTTAAACCTTTTTATCCATAGAAAAAAAAAAAAAAAAAAAAACATATAAATAAAGTTTGTTCCGTCTTTTTAATCAATAGAGAACGCACCTTGATTAAAAAATGTTTGCTTTATTTTGGAAGGTCATATCAACTTTCACGCATCGTATGTAAATCTATTTAAGAAATTGTTTATATAGCAATGCATAGCAACGAAATAGGCGTTATGTTAAAAGAAAATGGTAAAGAAAGGGTCCTTACGTACAGCTCTTTCAATAAGTTTCTTTTTATTTGAGTTTTAATCCAGTCTGATCAAATTCGTATCTTTTTTTTGTACAGTAAGTATTAAGCTTTCTAATTCTTTCTCTGAACATTCTTCAAGTATTGTATGATTGGTCCATTGGGTGTGCTCACACAAATTTCTTTCGTCGTCAGGTATGTAATAAAATTATGTGCTCTTGAAAACTTAAATTCATTTATTTTGGCTGAAAGTCAGCCAAAAAAAATTAAGAGTCGAATTCAATGGACTCCTAGAACTAAACCCTATATTAATTGATATTAAGAATTTGTATAAAAAAGGAAAAAACAATAATAAGAATTATTAAATAATAATTCATCTATAAGAAAAAGAAGAGAGAAAAAAAAAAGGATGTACACACTAGCACAGAGGCACACCCACAACCAGTACACAACCAAATTACGAGTGAACCCCTAAGCCATCGCAAACATGCGAAAGCTTGGCAAGCGATGCAGTAAACAACACAAACTTATTTTCGATTCGTAATAAGATATCAAGGTTAAAAGTTAGTCTCAATGCCACATAGGCAAATCGCGCATATTAAGCAAAGTAGTTTTGATAGACTTTATAGAATCCGATATTGAAATTATGTGATAGACATCATTTTGACTTAGCTTAATGAACAGTTAGAATTGCTTTTGAACAGACTCAACTGAATCGTCATAACGCATATAGAAAGAAGACTACACAACAGAAGCATATTCAAGTTTTGGTCTAAGAAAGCACATGCATAGCCTTTTCATAATGAAAGTATCCTATGCTCTTTGGACCACTCCTCAATGAAACCTAACGTGGACCTAACACTGTGCGAATTAAAATCTAATATTTGGTCGCATAGAACCCCTAAATCGATGGACGAATCTACGCTTTTCAATTTGTGTGAATCAATGAAATATTCAGCATTGAATGGCTTCATCCTTGAGAATAACAGCTTCTTACATTGTTTTAAATTTAATTTCATAAAACATAACGAGCACCATGTAAGCAAATTATTTAAGTCAGTTTAAAGCGGTTCCAGGAAGAAGGAACCAAACAGTTTAACATCGTCAGCGTGCATTAAGATCTGGCTGGATTTAATTACCGAGAGGAGATCATTAATATATAAATGAAATGAAAGGGGTCCTAAGTTGCTGTCTTGACGGACGCCAGATCTCATGGGAAATTCATCTAAGATGATGAACTTAAACAGAACCCTGAATAATCTCTTATGCAGATACGTGCTTAAGCTTCATTAAGCAGAAAGGCAAGCCACAGGCCTGGAGTTTGCAGATCAATAAATTGTGGTTAACTAAGTCAAACGCTTTACTAAAATCAGTATATACGACATGCGTACGCGAGCCACCAGAAAGAGCCTTGAAAATATGGCAAGTGAACTCTAAGGTGATTCGTGAAAGTGGATCTTCACTCGCTCAACAACTCGTTCAAACAATTTATGTAAGACACGCACTTTGGCGATGAATCTACAGTCCTTTACCGGATGTCTATTTCCACATTTTTGAATTGGAATATGGAAACTACTCTTCCAAGACAACGGGAAAAACCTAATTTGAAGGACTGATTGAAAATCATTGAAATAGCAGCAGATAGCTCGTCAGAGCATATTTTAAGTATACATAAGGGGATCCCATCAGGTCCAAACGCAGAAGTACATTTTAGGGACCTTAAACCATCCAAAAAATCATTTTCTAAAATGGCAAAGTTAGGAGTCAAAGCCGAACGAGATATCGATACGGAGAGTTGACAATTGAATGGGAATTACCAGTTGAAAAATTTTGTCGGAAGTACTCAGCAAAGGGATTCGAGGTTTCAATATCATCAGAGTCGTCAGATCCATTAGAAGAAACATGCGAGGAATATAAACAGATTTCTCTTTTGGAGTTAGCGAACTTAAAAAAATGTCTAGGATTAACAAGCAATGAAGATTTTATCAACTAAATAATATTGGTAGTTGAACTAACTAAATATATACCTTGATGCGGAATAGGCAAAACAGTTGTAAGCAGGACCACTTTTCATAAATTGCTTGAAAAGTTTGTTTTTCCTATTTTTGTAATATTTAATTGTCTGGTTAAACCATGGTGGGCATCTGCTTCAAGCGCAAGCTTGCTTGTCGGAACGGATGCAGAAATAGCTAGGTTTAATACATTATAGAAAGAAGACTGTAAGCTTCAATAGTAAGTTAGATTAGTAACTAAGTAAGTAAGGTTTCAATATTTACATTAAAGATATCAACCATAATGTCTGAAAGATGTGATTTAAGCAGTAAAGTATTAGCTATGTTAAAATCATAATACTTATTGGAGGAAATTGGATTTGGCGCATTAGAGTAGTTCAAGGGACAATCATGCCTGTAATAAAAGGAAATACAAATTGATGGATAACAGGTATCCTTAGCAAATAACATCTGGACAGCGGTTTGCAACTATATCCGCGAAGTTAGCAAAGCAAACGTCCAGCAGTCTACCATTGCAATTAGGGGCACGGTTGTATTGCAGTAAATTACGATCAATTAATTCATTGAAAAACACGTACAACCAGAATTATCACTATAACACCAAGTGACTTGTGGCAAATTGAAATTCCCCAACACTATGACTATATTAGTAGCTTTAGACTCCTCGGCCACGTTACAAATGAGGGGAGCATGTTTCCTATAAAAGGAGATATCCGCATTTTGGGGAATGTAGGAGCAAGTTACGTATAACTGCTTATTGACAACTTTCGCTCGAATGGCAATAAATTCAACGTCGAGAGGAGTAGGAAATTCAATCGAATAGGAGGGAACTGCAGCAGATATGACAATTATGGCACCACCATCAGTGCGATCCTATCGATCCTTTCTGAAAATTTGAAAAGAACTGTGGAAAAGTTCCGACGAATGTAAATCAGACTTTAATCAAGCTTCAGTGAAGGCAAAACAGGAAAACTCCGTGCCCACTGAATTAAGGAAAGTACAGCGAATTTTCAAATTTAGGCTTCTAACATTTTGGTAAATCAAAGGTATTGGACCTGAAGAAATATTTAGTTTCTTAAGGGTAGAAGAGCTACCGAATTAGCAGTTCGGAGACGATCTTGAGCAATGAATTCCTTAATTAAGCATCCAACTGGCCACAAAATTTAGCAAAATTTCCATATATTCAGTCGGAAATAATACCTTAAAAGACAACTTAGCTCCAGGTTGAGATGGAGCCAATTTGAAAATTTTGACACGCTTTAAATTGATGGATGGGAGTATTGCAGCCGGATAACTTTTTATATTATCCAAAGAGGTGTTAGGCGCCTGTCTTGACAGGAATATTCCCTTTCTGAGGGGTAGTGCAGGTAGACAGTTTTGAGTTGGCGAAAATATAGAGGGATTGGCACACTTGCATGTGCAGCTAGTGATCTGCAATCCTATAAATTTGTTAAATCTGATACAATGCAGTAAATTCACTGCTATCTTTGTAACACAGTGTACCATCAGTTACACCGTAGAATATATTTTATATACAACGTTGCAAAATTCCGTATACCCGCTAAACATGCAATTTCTCTTTTCGCGTACAGAGTTGCTAAAGTTTTATTGCTAACTCTGATACTCGCGAGAAAAACTTGAAAAGGTGAAATTACGTTACCATGGGAAGCCTGAATCATGCAAATTGGTTTTGTTGCATTTTTTGATGAATAGTGGAAAGACATAGAGAGCGCAGATAAAAGCGGATTAGTTAAGTTACGCGACGGCGGTGGCATGTTTTGTTTTGTATAATTTTGTACTGATGAGTAGAAATGATAAAGCAATAAAACTTTATTGGTTTTGCTTTCTAAATTTGATTAAAAAGATTGCAAACACAGCGTGCGTGACAACGGTCTGAGGAAAATATTTTCGACATAAAAAAAAGACGCGCAAATTATTTTCTCAGCATTGTGAAAAAACGGTAATAACAAAAACTGTAAATGAGAGAGAGCAAGATAGTAAAGAAGCAATCAAAATTAAAATAAGTTTTGGAAAAAATATAAAATTTGATTAAAATAAAGAAAGCATACAATACGATCAGAAAGTGTCATAAAAAAAAAATAAATAAATTTCATTAAGAATACTTGTTCCCAACGAAAGTAAGAAAAGGATTACAATAAATAAATTTTTGGAATGCTTCTAAAAGGTAATCGATCATTAATAATTGATTTTTCTTCTATTATAAATATATTGTAATTAAGTATTTTTGCCCTTAAACTCTTTTGACATTGTTTCACCCGCTCTACAGCGGTGGACAACGCCTCTTGTTAAAATATTTTTCTTACATATTTTCTTTTATCTGTCTACAAGATAGTCTGCGTCATCTTCCTAAGGAGAGAATGCTTTTTTTTTTTTTTTACGTGCATGTTTATGTGTATGCACTGCTTTAGTGCAAAAATAATTTCCTTATTACTAATTACTTCATGATTAGCATTAGTTCTAGGTACCGATGTAATCAGCTGTAGCTGTAATGAGATATTTTGGAGACCAATATTTTTTTACTCTTATATTTTCCGTACATATACCCAGTTGTGTTCTCTTATTCCATTTAATTTCGTTTCTTTCATTTTTTTTTTGTTTTGTCATTGTCAAAATTATCACAAATTTTGCTTTTTTTCTATAATTATTTCAGTTTAAGAGAGTGTATGTTGACTTTTTTCACAATCTCTTAAACTGCACACATTTTGATTCATATTGATTACAAAAACGGTGTTCATTACTGCAGTCAGTTTGTGTTGTTATCAGTTGTTCTTAAGAACGTGCATTAGATCGTAAAACTTGAAATTTTTTTTTTTAAACTGTAATTGTATGTGCATTTTGTGGAATTGTGAACTATTTTTTTTTACATCAGCGCTCTCGGACAACCACTATTTCAATCTCTCTCACTTCCACTCTCACTCTCTCGCTATTTCCACTCCTTTAATTTGCTCCTATTTCGGTATTTCTTTTTTATTGCAGTTCTATTTTAGCTACGTTAATATTTCCTCTCACATATTTTCGTGACATACGATGAAGGTATTGGTAGTAACTAGCGCTATAGCTATAAGCAACCCTAACTTCCGTTATTCTATTGCAAGAAATATTAGGGTGTTGTCCCCTTTTTTCTATCCCTATTTCTCTTATAATGCTCCTCAGTAATGCTTGCATCATTTTTATAATTAACTCTGAAATTTAGAGATATAGTAGCTACGTTGTATGATTCGTAACACCTTGAAATTAGATGCCCAATGAGTTACGTATGTATATGTCATCTGAAGTCAAAATGAGGTTAAAACTTAATTAAGCCATGTACATGCATTCTTTTAACGAAATTTCCGAAATTGGATGTATATAACTCCCTTCTGGAAGTTACAAATGTTTGACGGTCCGATGTCCCACCTACGTATTTTTGTTTTTCAATTATATATTGAAAGCTTACTAGTTAAAAAGCACGCTGTTGAAATTGGATTGGCTCGCACTATGCTAATGGAAAATAGTATTTGCATGAATGAGGACATTTTGGATCGGATAGGATCATTTTAAAAGCCTTCGCAAGTTGGTATTGCAAATGGGATACATCGGTCGAACGGCATGCCTACAGTGCTACGTAACTGAGAACATCTCTGTTTTTCCAATGAATTTAAAAAATCGTTTTCTACTCATTACTTACAAACTACAGCAGACAAAATGTACAAAAATTTGAGGGCTACGTGGTGTAACATTTCATGACAAAAAAAATGTGAAGAATCGTATTAAGACTAGTGGTGTAGGGTATGTAATCCGACTTGGCTTAGTGTAACGTGTTAGCTTTTTATAAATATTTTCAAATTATTTATTTCCAAACGATATTGTTTCGATATTCGACTTGACTACTTACTTCAGCACAGTGTTGAATATGATCCCGGTCATTGATATCCTCATAATTAATACGAAAACTGTACGAAATGTGATTCTTCAACTTTTTGTTAGAATCGTTGGAAAAGTAAGAATGGAAATTGTCCCTAGTGTCCCCAGAAAAAAAGAAGTGGGTTAAGTTGGTGGGTATCTATACGATTCACGTCACAAAAAATGTATCCTTCGCACTTTTCTTTTTGTTTCTTTCTATTTCGTTGTAATTGTTTATTATATTGGATGATAATATCGAATGTGAATGTCTTCGTTATCACCGGCAGCACAATACCATTTTTTTATATCCACATCCGTAAGCAGAGAATAAGTATTAACTATTTCTCTTCTGTTTACAACTTCAAAGAATATTTATTTATCAGGAATTATGTACATATTTTTGATCAGTTTATGATTTTTAGTTGAGTGAGCCCTTTCCTACAGTTATCGTACGGTCCCCAGTTACAAGAGATGAGATTGATTATGAGACTTAATGCATATATTCTTTGTTGGTGGGTGCCAATGATCTACATAATCCACAACCAGCTCCACATGAAACGAGAAACTGCATTTTCAATTTATATTTTTACCAAGTCGAGCTGAAAAATCAGTGTAAAAATAGAAACTATGCAGAATAAATATGTGGCAGTTTTAGTTTTATATAATGCGATAGATTTGTCGAGAAAGAGAAAGCATAGCTTTCCAAACGAAATCCTCTACTTTTTGGACTGATTCATTTGCATAATGAATTTCAACTTGTATTTAGGTAGATATTTCTAGGATATGCTTAATCAAGATCCTTTTCTTTAGCCGAATGCACCTCAGGTGCATTTCATCGGGTGAGTGTGGAAGTCATGATGGACTTTAGTTCAAAAGTTTCAACATTTTTCTCTTTTAACAGCGTTAAGTTTGAGATTATTATCTCGTACTCAAAAGTTTTAGTAGGTAATTTTGGCAGCTTCGTGGCCACAGCCGCATTTTATCTAAATTTAACCATTCATCATACGGGTTTCTTCTGGTATTTGATAAACATACCTTTTACTAACTTAACGATAGAGCTTTCGTTTTCATTGGGCTAATTAGAAGTGTTTTTAACAATCGCTTTATCGAGTTATAAGTAGAGATCATTGGAATGATGCTTGTTGTGCACGGTTTAGGGGGCACGGTTTGAAGGGAATGATTTGTAATAAGAATTGCTGTGTTAAGCAAGTATTCTCTCTTGGGCTCTTGAGCTTACTGTGATCATTTTGTGAAGTAAGAGGTACTTTTTTTGAGAATAGATAAGAACCAAAAAATATAGACGCACATGATCCAAATTTATTATTTCAAAATGCTATTACGGGGTAATGTTACTACACTAGCCCTTCTTCCTATGAGAGATATGTTGTCATAGAAATCTATAAATTTGGAGCAGTTGACCTTCATCTCGAAATGTTATCATGAACCAATTTCGACTGCGAAATATTAAAGACCAGACGGTTTTCTTATATGAAGGCTTACCTTTCATAGCAAAACTTATATAGGAGCGTTTCAAGTTTTCACATGTGTTTAACATAGCGGAATTCTATTTCTTCGTCCTTTCCTTTCATATAACGTTGTTGTTGTTTTAAAGTAAGGCGTATTTTATGAAGAAGTCTTACAAATTGCCCGACTCAGACCATTTCTCAATAGCGAATCAGCCAAACATGTCAATATATCGAATTTTGTCCAAAATATGTGAAAAACCACTACACTCTAGTAGGTTAAACAAAAAATAGAAGCATAAGCATTCAGAAATTAATTCCGAATCGGTTGGATTAATAAAAGACAGGTCTATAATAAGTCCTTCCGGTGAATGTCCGTAATTAGAAATCGGAAAATGTTAGTTTTTAATCCTTTCTATTGACATTCTGTTTGATATGTAGTAGTGAGTCATACAAGAGGTCCCCGTTGTCTTTTGAGCTTCGTTTAGTAGCTTGCTCTTGCTTTTTCAAATGATCCCGAAACTATCGTGTGGATGATGTTTAGTGTCCTGAAGGCTTGCGTGCCGATCCTGCTCCACCAGTTGCAAAATTTTACCATCAAATTTTCCAGTGACTGGCCGACCATGGCGAGATGCACCTTTGACATCGAATTTTCCGAACCAGAATCGAGCAAACCGCACACTTGTGCTTCTTCTACTCACAGCATTCGCCCCGTACACTTCACACATTTTTCGGCATATTTTTGCATTCTTAACCTTTTTTATAGCAAAAAAGCATCACATAGCGTATTTCTTTACATACGAGCAAACAATTAGAAAACTATCTTCACGAAAAATGCTGGGTGAAATGTTACCTTTCGTTCAAGAAGACTAGATGAATGTTGCCCGATATACCATTGTTTCCGTTTATCAGAAATACGCATCAAAGGCATGTTCTTAATTATCCTAACATTCGGAGTGGACTTATATTCATTTTCGAGCTGCTCACGTGAAAACTTTCATCATACAATCGAAAATCTATAATTTACAATTTATATGCAGTATTGACCTACGATCATCTAGAAGATGGATGTAACTGGGCGTAAATTTCCTGTAAACCGGCAAACTGATACGATGCGTAATCAAGGGTGTGAAGATAAATTCGAATTTAACTAGTAAAGACATCTACCATTTCAGTTAACATACCGCTGTTAACAACTTAACAGAGCTCATGTTAAATAATTACAATTGAGATATGGTTGAT